AAAGTCCCCTGTCAATGGCTGCCTCTTTTCCATTAATGAGGATTCAGGACAGGTTCCTGGTAGCTTTATAATTCTTTGTATAGAAAGTCATAACACAGATAATTGCTACACATGTACCTTGCCGACGTCTCCTGTGATTTTAATTCTCTCCTCTCCCCCCCCCCCGCCCCTTTTCCATCAGACCCGGAATTAACAGCAATTTGTTGGAGAACAGTTTAACGACAACGTGGTAATGTGCTACTCAAGATCTTGAGTTGACTGTGCAAGTCCTGGTGAATTTCTGCTGTGATCACCGTTCCTAAGCTCCGCATGACTTCTGAGTGTGCAAAATGCTTTAGAGCTCCTCGGTTTTATTGACTTAGGAGATGCGTCCTTGCGGCAAAACGCCCTTGACAGTCTTGACAGCGATGCTTCTGAATACCAGTTGCTGGAAGGCACACGAGGGGAGAGGGCTCTTGTGTTCGAATCCTGTTGGTGCGGGGGGGGGGTTGCCACAGGTACCTCGTTGGCCACTGTGAGAACAGGATGTTGGGACTAGATGAGCCACTGGCCTGATGCAACAGGCATTTCATATGTCCTTATGACACTAGAAGGCATAGGAAGCCACTGAAGATGTGCTCAACCCTACTACAATATGTACGCAGTAAGTTGCAAAGCTTTAGCATTTAGCTTGAATTATAATGCGCTGTTTGTCCAATTATTAATAATACTGTGGCACACCACCCCGATCTCCTAATGGTGCAAGACTAAACGACAACTCTAAGCCCATAGAAAATGAGACTGTTATTACTCCACAGGGGGGTGTTAGGAGAAAAAAAGCCTGCTCCTTTTCCCTTATGGGGTACCCAAGAGCCCATATAGAGTCCTTTTGTAGGTTCTCTATTGGTAGGAGAAAATAACAGAGGCCAACCAGAGAATATTGAGAAGCAAAGCAGCTAGTAAGCCTGATCTTTATAAAAGCTGTTGCAACAGGGTGCTCACACACAAACACACACACACTCCGCAGGGAGGGAGGAGAGGAACCCAGAACATTGGTGTGCAAGCTCTTATATAGACTTTGAAATTATAGAATCATAGAATCATAGAGTTGGAATAGACCACAAGGGCCATCGAGTCCAACCCCCTGCCAAGCAGGAAACACCATCAGAGCACTCCTGACATATGGTTGTCAAGCCTCTGCTTAAAGACCTCCAAAGAAGGAGACTCCACCACACTCCTTGGCAGCGAGTTCCACTGTCGAACAGCTCTTACTGTCAGGAAGTTCTTCCTAATGTTTAGGTGGAATCTTCTTTCTTGTAGTTTGGATCCATTGCTCCGTGTCCGCTTCTCTGGAGCAGCAGAAAACAACCTTTCTCCCTCCTCTATATGACATCCTTTTGTATATTTGAACATGGCTATCATATCACCCCTTAACCTCCTCTTCTCCAGGCTAAACATGCCCAGCTCCCTTAGCCGTTCCTCATAAGGCATCATTTCCAGGCCTTTGACCATTTTGGTTGCCCTCCTCTGGACACGTTCCAGTTTGTCAGTGTCCTTCTTGACAAACTGGAACTGAATTGCCCACCCTCAGACTCCAGACCACCCCCAGAAACATCATACATACATCATAGAAGGGGTGTAGCCCAGGACCACCTCCCCCAATACAGTGGTAGCTCGGGTTAAGAACTTAATTCGTTCTGAAGGTCCATTCTTAACCTGAAACTGTTCTTAACCTGAGGCACCACTTTAGCTAATGGGGCTTCCCGCTGCCGCTGCGTGATTTCTGTTCTCATCCTGAAGCAAAGTTCTTAACTATTTCTATTTCTGGGTTAGCAGAGTCTGTAACCTGAAGTGTCTGTAACCCGATGAACCACTGTACAGCGTACATACATCACAGGGGGGCAGTCTAAAACAGAATCCTGAGTGTGTTGTTTATCTCCTGTCTCCATTTACCTGATTGCATTATCTAGGTTTTGGCCACTCTTTTGTTATTATGACTACTTAATCCCTGAATCCAGGCCACAGGTTCACCCTATTCACACCTTAAATGTGCCCCTTAGCACAGAGACAATGGGGAGATTTTCCATTTCCATTTCCTTCAACCTTGCAGAGAAATATTTGAGGTCATTTTGGGAGAGAGAAAATGGTTTCAGGACTTTTCTGTGGCTTTCAGACATGTGGTTTACATATTTGTATGTATTTGCTTGGTACATTTATGAACATCTATTTTATATATACAAGACCTTAAAATTCTTACAACAGGGGGAAACAGGAGCAAAGAAGGAACTATGAGATATTTGGTCACTGTCCTATGCCAATCTGGTTCCCTCCAGAAGTTTCTGACTACAACTCCCATCAGCCCCAGGCAGGTTGGGCTTGCTGGGGCTGATGGGAATTATAGTCCCAAACGTATGAAAGTAATCCAGCTAGCAAAGGCTGCTCTAAGCAATTATCAGCTCAAGTCATGTAAATTTAATGGAGATCATCTGCAATGCAGACTTGGCCTTAAGCAGCCAGTTTGACTCTGAACTCTGTGGTGTTGCTGCTTTTTACAGCCTTTCAGAAGGGAATTCAACAGGAGTCTTGAAATCTAGACTTGGGTTGACCCAGATCCCAGTTCTTGCAGCTCCCTCTGTTGGACTCTGCATGTAGCTGCTTCTCTGAAATGCATGGAAAAGTAACCCCCCTGCAAAGTAATGTGTGCATCATATACCGTAGATGTCTGTGTTGTTACAGCAGAGATGAAGAAAAGAATGGCATTCAAAGCCCCAAAATTAGAAGAGGGAAAAGAGGCTTCATATCCCACACAGAGAGAGAGATTGAAGCCAAAATACAGTAGCAGACACAGAGCCAATTAGGAAATGCTAGCTTGCATCTAAAGAGGCAGAACTCCCATTTAATTGCAGTGAGAGCTGTGAGGCACATTTGCATAGCCACACACTTAAAATTGCTTTAATAATTCCATTTCCACAGGGAACCCTGGGCATTGCAACTTTCTCGGGAGAGAGGTCTCCAAACGAAAACGATCAGCACCACACGAAGCTTTGGGAGGGAAGCAATGGCCGTTTAAAACCAATGAAGGTTTGCATTGCAGCTATTCCGGCAGTTTCCCAATCCTTCAAACCAGCCTTCTGCTGCGCTTTGCACACAGGTAAATTTACTCACGAGGAGCCACCGCAGCACACCGCTTGAGAAAGGCATGTTTCTGTGTCTACTTTTATTCAAAAGTACAGATGAGGGATGGGGAACCTTAAGCCCTCCAGATACTGATCCCATCAGACCCAGGCAGCATGACCAATGTCGAAAGATGGGATTTGTAGTCCATCATCCTCAGAACAGCCACCTCATCCCTGGGATAGATGCGGTGCCATGCCAGTTCAACTTACAACACAGTTGTCCTTGTTCTTAAGAACATTCCCCCAAAGTACGCGTAGCGGCAATCAGTCCTGAAGGGTATAATTTGTCCGGTCTCTCACCCCTTGGCATTCTGGTTTACCGTGTGATGGGCAGAGCTCTGACAGTGACTCTTCCTTCCTGAGTGGAGGACAGAGGGAGGTGTGCAAGTCTGGGAAGAAGCCAGCCAAGGTAAAATGTGCATTCACCGCTACTCCTACTTTTGCTTCTGGTCCCGCCCATCACTGCCAAGTGGCCCCTGGGAGGCTGCTTAGCAGGGTTATGCAGCCCTGAAAAAGATCCCGCACTCCTGAGGCACAGTTATAATGAAGTATCAAAGAAACAAAAGCGGCTCGTTAAGGGCGTCCAGATTTCGCATGCGATTCAAATTCCGCTTAATTGAATTCCTGCTTTATTATTGGCAGAGCGACACAGACCTTGCTCATTTAAAGAAGACGACGGATGGCCTGGTTTTGTCTCCTTTATTTTGGGCTGATGAGATTCAGCCAAAAAAACCAACAACAACCCAAGCCTGGCAGTGGCCCTCTTTCAAAAACTACCCATGGACCAGGGACCAAAGGGTCGCTGTCTCAAAAGGCGCAGACCAAATGAAACACCTGTATAGATCGCATCCATGTAAATAAATGCTACATTTACAAAAGGAAAACAGATGAGGTCATTTGAACACAACTGGTAGCTGCCATTGAGTGTAACGGGCAGGGGGACCCTTTCAAGTATTGCAACGTGAAAATACACAGGACATTGCAAGGAACAAACAGCTGCTTCTCACCCTCTCTGTCTACAGTACAACCTAGCCGCAAGTCCTGATGCACGGACATGTTGAATTTCCCCAAATCGTCGTCTGTTAGTGGTGGGGAATAGGAGAAGACATGGGACATCAGGGTTTCAGGACACAGTAACATGTACTAGATCAGTGTTTCCCAACCTTTTTTGGGCAAAGGCACACTTGTTTGATGAAAAAAATCTTGAGGCACACCACCATTACAGCCCCGTGACGTCAGCGCGCAGCGTCACGCCGGGAGGGAAGGGCGCCGGGGCGCTGCTGCTGCTGCTGCCGCCGCCGCTCCCGGCAGGCATGGGCCCAGCTGAGGCGGCGGCGGCTGTTGTGGTGGTGGCGGCGGATAGCGGGCGGAGGAGGGGGCGGCGGCGGGGCCGAGGTGGCCGGCGGCGGCGGGGGAGGCGGCGGTGGGTGGAGCAAGAGGGCGGCCGAGGCCGGTGAGGGAGTAGGGTTGCCCCGTGGCTTGAGGAGCCGTCGCCGGGAGTTGCTGCTGCTGTTGTTGCTGCTGCTGTTGTTGCTGCTGCTGCCCGGACATGCCGGCCTCCTCCTCGTCCGCTGTCTCGCGCTCCTCCCTTTTGCGCGCGCTGCCCCGCCGCCGCCCCATTGGCCGGGTCCTGTCAGCTGATCCTGTGCTATTTCCTGTGTGTGTGTGTGAGGGGAGAATGGAGAGAGAAACCTCGGCACCACCACCGCGGAGCCGCCCCCGGCTCGACGCGGATCCTCGCCGCCCCGCCTCTCGCCGCCCGCCTCCCTCCCACGGCACACCAGGCAACGTCTCGCGGCACACTAGTGTGCCGCGGAACACCGGTTGGGAAACACTGTACTAGATGTTGCTGAACTACAACTCCAGACACCTCTGGGGGATGATGGGACTTGTAGTTAATCAACATCTCAAGGACCAAAGGCTCCCCACAGCTGCACCAGATGTTACTAAGAAGTGGGCGGCACTAAGACACACAGCTGTGCATTAACCATAACATTAACTTTGGTATTTAACAGCTCCACAGAGATCTCTGAGAAATTCAAACTTCACTTGTCTGCTAGTTCCTGGAACGTTCAAAGAGGCGGCTTGGGATCAGACTCAACAGGGTAGTATTCCACCAAGTTTTACTCAAAGAAGGCCTAATAAAATTAATGGGCCCAGCTTGGTCATGTTTAGTTATTTCAGTGGGTTCACTCTGAGCAAATGCCACCCAGGCTGCAGAAGGGCACTGCCATATTAAGTTTTTCCAACAGAGCGCTGTCTGCAGAATTCTTCCCACCGCTGGTGTCAGAAACATAGGCCGAAGCCATCCCTGAGCCTGACCTCCAGATTTTTGCTCCTTCCAGCAATTGCAGACTTAAGGCACAAGGGGGTGAGTTAAGGACTAACATTCAGTTCTTTCAACATTCTCAGTTCACGTAAACACCGATAAAATATATAAACAGGCAATCTTGTAGAGAGAAAAGGTAGAGAACTCAGGATTTTACAGAAGGTGCTTTTTCCTTGACTTACACCAACACATTTTCCATCTGACCCTTGATCTGGGCTGGGGAAGAAGTGTCAAACGGCTCTCTCCCAAGAAGCCCAAGACACTATTTTATGCTGAAAGCTCAGAGCTTTCCTGCTCCTCTGCTTTTTAAAGGGACTCTCATAAGACACACTATGGATCCACATTCCTCTTTAAAATTCCTGAGGCTACTGCCCCACAGACCTTGGAGGAAAGTGAGAGCCAGCAGGAAATCTAAATGGCCTCACTGTGCATTATATATAAAACAATCTTGCAACTACGTTTTCTCCTTTGCACAAACCTCTAGCAAGCTCTCCACTAGGGGCTATGTCCTCATTTCTTTGCTTATGTAACACAGCACACAACCTACAATGAACCAAAATCCCTACATCCTATTAAAATACAAATACCCACACATGCACACACACACACAAAACAATAAGCAAAATTGAATGGTTCTGGAATAAAGGGGGGAAATTGTTGCCTATCTCTAGTGACGTTACAGGTACTAGCCAATTCCACCAGAGCACTTCAACCTAGACCAGGGTTTCCCAAACCTGGGTCTCTAGCAGTTTTTGGACTACAGTTCCCATCATCCTTGACCACGGGTCCTGCTAGCTAGGGTTGATGGGAACGGTAGTCCAAAGACCCAGGTTTGGGAAACCCTGACCTAGACAAAAATACATTAACAGGACCAATGGGAGGAGCCAGAACCCACATGGAATCTGGCAGGTTTATGGGCAGAGTCTGGCAGAATCCAGAGTTTACTGACTTTTCAAAGCCTAGTCCTGGTTTTCTGAGAGGACATGGTTTTACCAGTCAAACCAGTTAAAATGCTGACTTGAGTGGCAAGCCTAAGTTCACATTTTCCTTAGAGATTAAAAAATAAATACTGGTGTGTGCAGGAAATATATCCCTGCCTCCCAACAACAGGAACTCTTCCCTGGAGAAAACTGTCAGGATGTCATCTAACAGCTGAGAAGAAAGAAAAACCAACTAAGCCATTATTGCTCACATACACGCTCTCACACAAAGCCATTATCTGGAAGTCTCATGGTTAATGGCTGAGAAAACTCAAATTGCGTTGGGTCATTTTTGATAGGAGACCCGCCAACGAGGGTCTCTGGAACACAGAATCAAAATGGTACAGAAAATCTGCAGGTTTCACACACACTTGAGCTGTGACCTGGAGGACCAATGTTAAGGCTGCAGAAAACAACTTCTCTTTTTAAGGGGCAGATCAGGCCTTGACTCTGCTCTTCCTGGGACTATGTTAAGTAGCCACAACTCTGTTGCAGTGGACTTTTGTGGGTGGTTGTTTGCAATTTGAACAACGTTTCCAGTAGAAAGAGAACCAGCTGGCAGTAGCTACAGGCAAGCTTGTTGGTATCACCATCATTCCGGACAACTGCTAAAGGGGCAAATGTACATCACTGGAACTGAAAATATCAGTAAGCCATTGGATATCCATTTGTCAATTTCTTCATTCATTCTTCATCCATTTCTTCATCCATAAAAACTATCTCGGTGTCCTGTTTAAATGCTGTGTTCTCCCATTCCAGACTTTGTGTCCTGTCTAAATCTTGGTCCCTACAGTTCTACAAAAGCAGATTCTGTGTCCACTCTGTGGGCTTTCCCAAAGATGAGGAAAGTGCAAAGTCCAAAGGCGTTTACTGCTGCCACGAGATTGAAAACAGATACCCATGAACCAGTGATTTCGATCAGATGTCCGGCTAGGTACACACAAACAACACCTACGTGCAGAAAGAAAGGGAACAGATTGGCAATTTTTTTAAAAAAAATCCATACAATTAGCCTAAAGGTAAAGGTAAAGGGACCCCTGACCATTAGGTCCAGTCGTGGCTGACTCTGGGGTTGCGCCGCTCATCTGGCTTTATTGGCCGAGGGAGCCGGTGTATAGCTTCCAGGTCATGTGGCCAGCATGACTAAGCCGCTTCCGGCGAACCAGAGCAGCGCACGGAAACACCGTTTACCTTCCCGCCGGAGCGGTACCTATTAATGTACTTGCACTTTGACGTGCTTTCGAACTGCTAGGTTGGCAGGAGCTGGGACCGAGCAACGGGAGCTCACCCCATCACAGGGATTCAAACCGCCGACCTTCTGATCGGCAAGTTCTAGGCTCTGTGGTTTAACCCACAGCGCCACCCACGTCCCACAATTAGCCTATTGGGGGTTTTTTTGCTCACTGGGTAAAAAACCAAACCTAAACCAAAACACATATTGATTGGATTACACCAGCTTACCTGAAAGATCTCCTGAACCCACTCAACTGCTTTGACCTACAGAACAGTCACTTCTACAAGCCTTGCCATTTTTATGTGTAATGTTATAGCGTAGATTTGTTTGAAAATCGCTGATGTGATTTATATTTACATTTTAATCTGTTTTTAATGTTGATTTTTATCAGCATTTTTAAAATTAATATACCATTTCATGCAAACTGCTTGGAAGGTTTTTGTAAATCGAGTGGTATGTAAATCTCGATAAATAAAAATATAGTAAAATAATGCACTGCAAACACATTGACTATCTTTACACTTAGGTTGGCGGTCCCTCCCATCCCACACAAAGGTTTTAAGAATTGTTCAGTCCTTGATTTATTTATTTTTTACAAGGGGAGCAGAGGTAGACAGGGCCCTTAATGAATTCCAAAAGCTCCACAACCGGCTCCACTGATATTTTAGCTAAGTAATGACCAAAACCTCTTATCCCACCCCTCCAGTAGCTAAGGATCTAACTAAGGAGTCTGGAGCTCCTTTTAATTCAATTACAGTTGTACCTTGGTTCTCAAATGCCTTGGTACTCAAACAACTTGGAACTCAAACACTGTAAACCCAGAAGTAAGTGTTCCGGTTTGTGAACTTTTTCCGGAAGCCAAACATGCACCATTTTGAGTGCCATACTTCCGTTTTGAGTGTTACACTGAGGTCTGTCTGTTTTTGCTATTAATTTTGCATTTTTGTAGCTTTTTTTTGTGACTGCATGGAACCCAGTTCAGTTGCTGATTGCTTGATTGTGTGACTGCAGTACATTATTTATTGCTTTCATTTTATGGATCAATGTTCTCGTTAGATAGTAAAATTCATGTTAAATTGCTGTTTTAGGGGTTGTTTTTAAAAGTCTGAACGGATTAATCCATTTTGCATTACTTTCTATGGGAAACCGTGCCTTGATTTTGGAATGCTTTGGTTTTGGAACGTACTTCCGGAACGGATTAAGTTTGAGAACCAAGGTACCACTGTACATAAATTATTTGTCAGGGCTCCCTGGCCATCAGAGAGCCAAAATCCCCAGAGTTCTTTGTGCGAAGGGACTGCTTAACAAACCAGTCCTTCGTGTGGATAGACTCAATGGAAGACTTAATGGAGCAAATTCCTGATCAAGCACTTACCTAATAAGGCCCCACCGGTATTTGCCACACCTGTGGAGAGAAAGGAAACTCAGGCATGGCTTTGAAAAAAATGCACAATGCATTTAATCCAGGGTTGGAGAACCCTGCAACTTTCTAGATGTTGTGTAGACTCTCAAACTCCAACCATCCCCAGCCAGCATGGCCAATGATCAGGGATGATGGGAGTTGTAGTCCAATTACCTAGAGAGCACCAATTACCTAGAGAGCACCAATTACCTAGAGAGTCACGCCGGGAGGGACGCACAAAAGTGAAAGTTTTTTCCCTCCCCCTTGCTGGGGAACCTCCAAGCTTTGGGGGTGGGAGGAGGCAGCAGAGCGAGGGACTGAGGGACGGCGGCAACTGAGGCGGCGGCGGCTGAGGCAGAGCTGGGAAGGGGGTTTCCAGGGGACACGGCAGCTCCTCGAAAGGCTTCTCTCAGCTGCGCTCAATCCGCCTCGGAGAGGATTTCCCCTCCGGTCCCATGCGTTCGTTTGGGGCATCGCTCCGGCTGCTCCCTCTCCCGCCGCGCAGGAGCGATGCCTCTCTCTGGCTCTCCCTCCGCGCAGGCTGAGGGAGGGAGGGAGGGGTGCGTGTGACCCGTCTCTGCTGGGAGACCAAACCCAGCGAGGCAGAGTCGCGCGGAGGCGCCCAGGCAGCGCTGCCGGCTGCGAGGAGGAGCGCCAGGCAGCAGCAGGAGGCGCGGCCTCTCCTCGCCGCCGCCGCCCCGCCTCTCGCCGCCCGACTCGCCCGCCTCCCTCCAGGCATCTCGCGGCACACGAGGCAACGTCTCACGGCACACTCGTGTGCCGCGGAACACCGGTTGGGAAACACTGTTCTAAAAGTCTGGTAGTTGTTTATTTCTTTGACATCTGATGGGAGGGCGTTCCACAGGGCGGGTGCCACTACCGAGAAGGCCCTCTGCCTGGTTCCCTGTAACTTGGCTTCTCGCAGTGAGGGAACTGCCAGAAGGCCCTTGGCGCTGGATCTCAGTGTCCGGGCTGAATGATGGGGGTGGAGACGCTCCTTCAGGTATACTTGGCTGAGGCCGTTTAGGGCTTTCAAGGTCAGCACCAACACCTTGAATTGTGTTCGGAAACATACTGGGAGCCAATGTAGGTCTTTCAGGATCGGTGTTATGTGGCCACTCCCAGTCACCAGTCTAGCTGCCGCATTCTGGATTAGTTGTAGTTTCTGCAGCCCTGGGACACCCCAGTTCTCAGGAAGTCACTTAAGAAATGAAGACCTGAGGTTTATTAATGGATGGTCCTTTCTTATAAATTACTGGAATACTAACAGTAGGTAAGGCTGAACCTTTTAACTTTTCTTAACTGGGGGGGGCACAGGTGTCCCCCCCAACTGTGGTTGAATCCTGTGCCCCACTGACCCATTTCCACTGGTTCATGCAGTTCATATGCTGACTTGTGATCTGTACCAGCTCATCCCCCCCATCCCTACGTCCTGAACTGGCTTTCCCTCTTGATCTCTCAGGCTACATCTCCCCCAAGTCACTTTTCACGGCAGCTCTTCTGTTATGTACTGAGTTGAATAGAATCCAAAATGCAGCAGTCTGATTGGTCCTAGAACAATAGGATTCAGAATGCAGCAGTCTGGTTGGTCCTAGAACAATAGGATTCAGAATGCAGCAGTCTGATTGGTCCTAGAACAATAGGATTCAGAATGCAGCAGTCTGGTTGGTCCTAGAACAATAGGATTCAGAATGCAGCAGTCTGATTGGTCCTAGAACAATAGGATTCAGAATGCAGCAGTCTGATGGGTCCACAGGAGCCACCCAATCCAGCTCCAGGTGGAAGTGAATCCGCAACCTGATTGGCCTACAGGAGAATCCTGGAATTAGCCAATCACGTGGGGCCCAATTGTGTAAATAATGTATATAAAGCAGACATTCTGGGGGAACTTCCATTCCTCCTCACCACTATGAGCTGAATAAAGAGCATGAAATCCACACTCGATATTTCATCTTCTCTAACAAAGCCTTCCCTAACTTACTTTGGCTCCCCTCTGCTAGAACCTCCACGGCCACTCCATGATCCACAAAACTGGTGGTGCTTACAATTTGGCATCTAAATGCATGTTTGCAAAAAACAGGGCTGCCATATGTCCTCTTTTTCCAGGACATGTCCTCTCTTTCAGGCCTGGTTGCCATATGTCCTCTTTTCCCCGGTCATGTCCTCTTTCTCAGGATTAAAATTTCTGTTGGGGCGGATTTTAAAAATCTGGCTCAACGTCTGAGTTGTTTTTTGTTTCGTTTCGTTTCTGGTAACCCAAGAAATTTTCTAAATAAAAACAATTTTAAAAGCCGTTTTTCGTGAATGGAACTGCAGCTGGCCAATTTTCCGTCTGGTGCAGAAATGTGATGAAGCTGAGAGACACGGCAATTCCTATCCATCCCTATCTAATACAGGAATGCCAATAAATACCACAGAAACTGGTTGACTTTTCCTGGCCTCTGATACCTTCATAATATTGAAATGTGATATTTTGTTTTCCTTGTCGAATATAAAATTTATAATATATAATTTATCCTCACCAAACAGCAAGCCAGCACACGAAGGAGCCAGGTCTTGTATATTGACTGAGATGCCACTGCTCAGCGGAGGGAAAGAAGAGAAAATAATATGAAACTGAGAACAAGGCAGAGTGAAGGAAGCTGTGAATGAGACGGCTGCAATATTTGAGAAGCAGTTACCATATTTATAGCACTTTTGGTTGCAAACCTTCACTTCCTATTTCAGAGAGTGGCATGACTGAGAAAGCAAGCTACTATTTATTACAGCAGTGGGGAACCTTTTTGGGATGGGCAGGCCAGATCTTTATTTTACCCATCCCTGCAGGCCAGCACCAGCAGGGGGGCAAAACTACTTACTGTATTTTTCGCTCCATAAGATGCACTTTTTTCTTCCTAAAAAGTAAGGGGAAATGTCTGTGCCTCTTATGGAGCAAATGTGTGGTCCCTGGAGCCGAATTGCCCAGGGGCAAAAAGCAGATCATGCTTTTTTTTTAAGAAAGAGGGAAGTGGGTATGGAAACAAAGACGCTGATCGGCAAGCGATCAGGAGGGAGATAAGGCTGTGGGTAAAGAAGGCTGCCTGGGAGGGGGGAGGTAAAGACAGCAAACTTGCAAGGAGAGGAGACAGGAATACTAAAGCAATGAGGAGAGAAATTAGAAGAAAAGGAGCAAAAAACTGCTCCAGCTAAGGAACAGACCCTAAGGCAAACAAGAGGGGAGTGTTGAAAGGAAGCAGTTGATCAGTAAGCGACTGGGAGGGAGATAAGGGACGCTAGAGATAAAGGAGGCTGCCTGGGAGGGGGGAGGTAAAAGCCCATGGATCCTCAGGATTTTTGCATTGGGTCACCCCAAATTCACCATCAGATCACATAGCGTGTCCATGGCTACAGCCTGCACCAAAAAAATCACGCATCCACTTTTTCGTGGGGCCACAATGGCGCAAAAATGTGGTTACAAAGCACAGAACCACATGCATTCTCAGGATTTTTGCATTGGGCTACCCCAAACTCTCCGTCAAATCACATGTCTGTGGCCACAGCATGAACCACAAAAATCATACATCTATTGTTTCATTCAGAATTTTTTTTCTCTTGTTTTCCTCCTCTAAAAACTAGGTGCGCCTTATGGTCAGGTGTGTCTTATGGAGCGAAAAATACAGCACTTTATTTCGCATCATAATGGTGCCAGGTGATTGAAAAGCAGACTTAACAACCCACTTGTCAAAGTTGGCCCATGCGGGGTGGGGAGATGTTGGAATATTCTGGAAGAAACTTCAAAAATGGTCTTGAAGAAGTTGCTAGGCAAAGGAAAATTTCCCCAGCAACAGGTGTCCTTATTAGGACATGTGATCAACTAAGTTTGGGTCAGTGTAAGTGAGCATGTGAATGAGTCAGCATTAGGTCTCTGGCTGGATGGCTAAAAGAGAGAAAATATTATGTTTCTTTCTTTATTTTTCTTTCCTGGGACGCAGGTGGCGCTGTGGGTTAAAGCCTCAGCACCTAGGACTTGCCGATCGAAAGGTCGGCGGTTCGAATCCCTGCGGCGGGGTGCGCTCCTGTCGTTCGGTCCCAGCGCCTGCCAACCTAGCAGTTCGAAAGCACCCCCGGGTGCAAGTAGATAAATAGGGACCGCTTACTAGCGGGAAGGTAAACGGTGTTTCCGTGTGCGGCTCTGGCTCGCCAGAGCAGCGATGTCACGCTGGCCACGTGACCCGGAAGTGTCTCCGGACAGCACTGGCTCCCGGCCTATAGAGTGAGATGAGCGCACAACCCTAGAGTCTGGCAAGACTGGCCCGTACGGGCAGGGGTACCTTTACCTTTATTTTTCTTTATTCATGACCAGTGTAAAGCTTTTGTAAATAATAAAGACTTTGAGAAACAGAACCTAATAGTGTTTATTCCTGTTACGGGAATTTTACTAAGAGCATGGGTAGGCAAACTAAGGCCAGGGGGCCGGATCCAGCCCAATCTCCTTCTAAATCCGGCCCACGGATGGTCTGGGAATCCGTGTGTTTTTACATGAGTAGAATGTGTGCTTTTATTTATAATGCCTCTCTGGGTTATTTGTGGGGCATAGGAATTTGTTCATTATTTTATTTTATTTTTTCAAAATATAGTGCGGCCCCCCACAAGGTCTGAGGGACAGTGGACCGGCCCCCAGCTGAAAAGGTTTGCTGACCCCTGATTAAGAGAGAGCTGGAATGCGGCTGCTGCAAAGAAGTAAAAGATGCAGGAAAAGTTTTCTGTAAAAGGAACCCTGCTGAAGAAAGAAATGAAAACCCAGGAGCAGATGCTCACGTACCAGGAGATACTGTCCAAGCAGGATTGAACTCCCCACACAGTTCAATCCTGGTTTCTGCAAGCTTTGGGCAGGCCAGACCGTTCCCAGCAAGGATTGGCTAGGGCAGTCAAAGCAAGCATGACCGAACCCTTCTCCTGCTCTGGAGGGTAGGGCCCGAACCCATGGCTTCAAGTGGCAAGAAAGGAGATTCCGACTAAACGTCAGGAAGAACTTTCTGGCAGTAAGAGCTGTTCCACAGTGGACTTCCATGAGAGGTTGTGGACTCTCCTTCCTTGGGAAGTTTTTCAGCAGAGGTTGGATGGCCGTCTGCCATGGATGTTTGGCAGAGATTCCTGCATTTCAGGGGGTTGGACTAGATGATCCTTGGGGTCCCAACTCTACGATTCTATGATCAGCTGATGCATGGGGAGCTCAGTCCTGCCTTCTGCAGCATTGCCTCTACCTGCCCCATACCTGGCGTCGCAGGTGAGGACTTGGGGAGAACAGCCTCGCAGAACTAATTGGGGAGGCCTGGTAGGCTGCAATTGGCTCGCAAAACGAAGGTTCCCCACTCCGACTCATCACATCTTTCTTCCAAGGAACGCGGCGCAGTAGAACCTCACAACTGCCTTGCGAGGCAGCCCAAGCTGAGGTCCAGCCAGCACGTTCCATGGCTGGCCAGGGATCTGAACTCAGGTCTCCGCAACCCAATCCCACCACCGTGGCTAGCCTTTGGGGTCCCCAAGAGCACTTCTGGACTGAGAAGGTGTTCCACTATTACCTGTGGTTGAAGCTCTGTAGTCCCACGCAGGCCGACGCAAACACAACCGCATGGCAGAAACTGTTGGTGTGACCTATGCACAGGGCAAAAATGCTGGAAACCCCTGAGCCGACGACCTCAAAGGAGAAGAAAGTCAAAACACCAAATTTAGCTGGCGCGGAATTTAGCAGATGGGGCAGCAGCAGCTTCAGCTACCTGACCACTGTTTCCCAGCCACCATCGGGACCAACAATCCACTATCTGTATCAAATTCTGAACAATGGGGGAAGCCAGCTAGCTACTCCTGCGAAGATTAATCAGAACAATGTGCCACGGGGTTCAATGGGACATAGCAAGTTTGTCAACCTAGGCCAATATTGCCTACTCGGACTGGCAGCAGCTCTTCCCCACATTTAACTTAAAGGTAAAGGTAAAGGTACCCCTAAGGACGCGGGTGGCACTGTGGGTTAAACCACAGAGCCTAGGACTTGCCGATCAGAAGGTCAGCGGTTTGAATCCCCGCAGCGGGGTGAGCTCCCGTTGCTCGGTCCCAGCTCCTGCCCACCTAGCAGTTCGAAAGCACATCAAAGTACAAGTAGATAAATAGGTACCGCTCCGGCGGGAAGGTAAACGGCGTTTCCGTGCGCTGCTCTGGTTCGCCAGAAGTGGCTTAGAAATGCTGGCCACATGACCTGAAAGCTGTACGCAGGCTCCCTCGGCCAATAAAGCGAGATGAGTGCCGCAACCCCAGAGTCAGTCACAACTGGACCTAATGGTCAGGGGTCCCCTTTACCTTTTTAAGGTACCCCTGACCGTTAGGTCCAGTCGTGGACGACTCTGGGGTTGCACGCCCATCTGGCTCTATAGGCTGAGGGAGCCGGCGTTTGTCCACAGACAGCTTCTGGGTCATGTGGCCAGCATGACTAAGCCGCTTCTGGCGAACCAGAGCAGCACAAGGAAACGCTGTTTACCTTCCCGCCAGAGTGGTACCTATTTATCTACTTGCACTTGATGTGCTTTCGAACTGCTAGGTGGGCAGAAGCAGGGATTGAACAATGGGAGCTCACCCCGTTGCGGGGATTTGAACCGCCGACCTTTTGATCAGCAAGCCCTAGGCTCTGTGGTTTAGACCACAGCGCCACCTGGGTCCCTCACATTTAACTTACTACCCAGTAAAGGCCCAACTGCATATGAAGCTCATTGTATTGCTTCCAACCATGTTTTGCGTTTTGTAACTTAATTACAATGGGAATTGTGATTTTAACTGGGAAAGCAGTACATGGGGCGGGGATGTACAGTGGTGCCCCGCAAGACGAATGCCTTGCAAGACGAAAAACTCGCTAAACGAAAGGGTTTTCCGTTTTTTGAGTCGTTCCGCAAGACAAATTTCCCTATGGGCTTGCTTCGCAAGACGAAACGTCTTGCAAGTTCTTGCGAGTTTGTTTCCTTTTTCTTAAAGCCGCTAAGCCGCTAATAGCCGTGCTTCGCAAGACGAAAAAAACCGCAAGATGAAGAGACTCGCGGAACGGATTAATTTCGTCTTGCGAGGCACCACTGTATAATCCTCCTCCCTCCCGACCCATTGCAACAAAATCCCCCTTCCCATCCTGCAGTTATGGGTTGGTGGGAGCAACTATCATGAGTGCCAAAATCAACTCCCCTGCATGCCTGTAATTACTTCTTTGAAAATCACAACTGGAAGGGGTGTACTTAGACCTCTTGTGTCCTGAGAAAAGGTCAGGGCACCATAAACTATTTTCTCCTACCTCCTTGCGTTTAACAGCACAAGAAACACCCTCTAAGGAAGGCCAGATGAAGAGATAAATGATCAGCCCCAGGTAATACAGTAAGTTACATGGCTGGGCAGGGATTTCTACACAATGAAGTCACTGGGCAAGCCTATCTTCCACTTGGCCATCGGAACTTTATCTCTTCCTTCTCTGCACATCCACACCAAGGGATAGCTCAGTCGGTTGAGCACGAGACTCTTAACCCGAGGGTTGTGGGTTTGAGCCCCATCCTGGGCAAACAATTCCTGCTTTGTAGGGGGTTGGACTAGATGGCCGCTGGGGTTCCCCTTCCAACTCTACAATTTCTACACCCAAAAAATCTGCTCTGGGGGGTTCCGCCAAGCATTTGCGGAGGGTGCGAGGAGCACTCAGGGGAGGCAGGAAAGGAAGGGGAAGTTTCATTCCACAAGCAGAAGTTGTGAGGCTATCTTTGAAGGTGACCCAGTAACTACAACTAATTCAGAATGCGGCAGCTGGACTGGTGACTGGGAGCGGCTGCCGACACCACATAACACCGGTCTTGAAAGACCTACATTGGCTCCCAGTACGTTTCAGAGCACAATTCAAAGTGTTAGTGCTGAGCTTTAAAGCCCTAAACGGCCTCGGTCCAGTATTTCTGAAGGAGCATCTCCATCCCCATTTTTCCGCCTGGACACTGAGATCCAGCGCCGATGGCCTTCTGGCAATTCCCTCGCTACCAAGTTACAGGGAACCAGGCAGAGGGCCTTCTCGGTAGCGGCACCCGCCCTGTGGAACGCCCTCCCACCAGATGTCAAAGAGAACAACAACTACCAGACTTTTAGAAGACATCTGAAGGCAGCCCTGTTTAGGGAAGCTTTTAATGTTTGATGCATTACTGTATTTTTATATTTTGTTGAAAGTCACCCAGAATGGCTGGGGAAGCCCAGCCAGATGGGCGAGGTATAAATAAATTGTTGTTTGTTGTTGTTAACACTTTTGTGGGCTTCAATCTTGTGTCTCCCTGGTCCTCACTTGGCATCCTAAGCCAGAGTCAACTAACTAGTTCCTGCTAGCAGAAGCCCACACAATGACTTCCACCAGCACAAGGGCCTTCTGTTTCCTCCTGTGCCCCCTCAATTGGCTCTTGGGGAGGCAGGGGTCAGGAGAGAACCCCCCAGAAGAGCCGGGGGGGGGAGAGAGATCATCTCGCCTGGCAAGCAGGAACGTTTGTACTAGTGCAATGCTGAATTCCTCCCTCCGTCTTCTGTACCACCTTGACTGTAACGCAAAGACAGACCTTGCAGATCTCCTCGCACAAGGAAACGTGTTCCTGTCATGCCAACCTGTTTGCACATTCATGGTCTTTTTCTCTCACCTGCATGAACTTACGGACAGTGATTGCTTTATATCCTGGAAGGAGAAAGAAAGAGTGTCAGAAAGTCTGGAGCAGTTTAAAGAGCCGAGCGCAGCAGCTGTCCTGAAATATCCAAAGGGCTGTTACACAGAAGTTTCTGCAGTCCGAGGGCCACATTGCATAGTTCAGCCTGGACGCTGAGGTCCAGCTCTGAGGGCCTTCTGGCAGTTCCCTCACTGTGAGAAGCCAAGTTACAGGGAACTAGGCAAAGGGCCTTCTCGGTAGTGGTGCCCACCCTGTGGAATGCCCTCCCATCAGATGTCAAGGAAGTAAACAACTACCGGACTTTTAGAAGACATCTGAAGGCAGCCCTGTTTAGGGAAACATTTAATGTTTGAAGTTTTATTCTGTTTTTAGTGTTCTGTTGGCAGACACCCAGAGTGGGCAGGGTATAAACAATAAAATACTACTTCTTCTTATTATTATTATCAACTTTTTGTGGGCAGGACCGGAGGCAAAAGTGGGTGCAGATTGGATTAGAAGTTTCAAGGCGTGCCTTCACTTATTATAAAACTAAAACACCCTAAAAGAGCAATACAGTGGACACTCGAGTTGCGAACATGATCCGAGAGGGATGCACATTCGCAACCCGCAGCTGCGCACGTGCGGGTTGCAATTTGGAGCTTCTGCGCATGTGCAAAGCGTGATTTAGCGTTTCTGTGCATGCGCAACCGCCGAAACCCGGAAGTAACCTGTTCCGGTACTTCCAGGTTTCGGCATCCCGTAACCCGAAAAAACACAACCTGAAGCGTCTGTAACCTTAGTATGACTGTACAATTGTGGCAGACAATGAAAAATTGACGATAGGTTTCTACCTGCCACTCCTACGAGACCCCATCTCTGGCGATGGGTTATACTCTTCCTGGCAAGAGTCCTGTGCTTTTTAAGAGGCACGCAAGCCCACAACAAGCAGAAGTTCTGCAGGTGACGCTTTGGAATAAAAGCTACACCTGTTGGATTTTCATCCATGCCCCTGCCCAACCACCAGAATGGAGAGATGAAAGAGGGAAAACATCCCAAGGGATTGTTACCTTGCTTGATAAACTGGTCGGAAAGGAATCCGCTGAACAAGCTTGTCGGGATCGCCACCAGCCAAGGCACAACATTAAATACCCACCCCTGAAAGGAGAGAGAAGGGAAACATGAACACACACACACACACAGTGCCAGTCCACTAACAGAGGCCTTGAGAGTGCAAGAGAATATGGATCAAGATCTGGCCCTGAATCAGGCCTCTTCGAATGTTTACAAGAACATGGCCTGATCCTGCATGGCCCCTGTGTCAGAAGCCTCTTGGGGTCGTGTGGTGCTGGCACGACAAGCAAACAGCCTCAGACCAAGTCAATTTCTTTGTCTATTTGGTTCAGCGCTGTCTCATGGCCTTAGGTTCCCATATGATGGTGGACTACAACTCCCATCATTCCCTAGCCAGCTTAGCCATTGCTCAGGGGTGGTGGGAGTTGAAGCCGAACAATATCAGGGGACCCTCGGTTGAAGAATGTCCCATCTTTTAAAAATTTAATAACTTCTATACCGCTTAATATATTTTTAAAAATATGTTTGTACAGAAAAGCGGAAGCAACAACAAATAGCATAAACAAAAGTATTATAGGAATATGCAGTTACATATAAATATGTCGTATTACTACGAAGTGAGCAATACATAAAAATCAGGGTCAGTTCACTTTCCTTTCTGACACACCCTCCCTCTCAGCCTCTGGGTTCTCAGCCAGGGTCCAAACAAACTCTCAGCTCTGCCGCCAAAGAGTTCCTGGATCATTACCTCAGGCAGCAAAATGTCTTCAGCTAACCCTGTTTTTAAAAATCATTGCTGATTGAGCACCCGTTTATCAGAAGAATTCATTTGCTGTGTGCACATTTGAACAGAAGGTGGCGCAGTTCTACCACACTGAGTCTTCCGACAGAGGATTAAAATTCGCAGCCCCTGTATTAATACAATAGGGTTGCTATATTTCAAAAAGTGAAAATGAGGACAAAAAGAAAAATCGCCAAAATCTTGACATATGTCCCGGTTTTCATGGGCGTTTAAGCAATGCTGTTTCTGACTGCCATATTCCGGCTGTGTCCGGGTAATTCCGGACACATGGCAGACCTAATTATACAATTATTAAGTAACAGCAGAGTGCAGACAACAGGACATTTGCAACAAATGCTTACCAGAGTGTTTTGTGTGATGTACACTTGTCCAATTCTGGACGCTTCTTTGAAAGCACCATGTGTGCACTAGCGCAACCGTAAAAACATGTGGTTTGCAGTTATTTTAAAAGATGCAAACCTCCTCTTCTTGCAGAGACCACCTGAACCCTTAAATCCCAGCTTGATCACAGAGAGATCATCTGCCAGAGCATCACTGGTTGTACCCCTGAGTTGGTAAGGCTCATATGACAGAGCCTTCCGTGTCCAACCCTCTGGAATGCTCTTCCATGAGATTCAGCAGGGAATGTCTCTACACGAAGCTTGAGACAGTTGCTGAAAACTTTTCTGTGCCACCAAAGTATACGCAGACAATTTTGGATAAACACATCCTGTAATATTTGATCTGTTTTACTTTTTTGGCATAATTTTTTGATCAAAGCTTTTTTAAAAATGAAACAACAAGACAGTAAACCTAATCTATATAAAAACAAAAGCATAAAAAGAGAGCAAGAAAGGGAAAAAAGCAGTTTCTACTGTTATAAATGGCTCTGATTTTTTTTTCATGAAACTGTGGGTATACAGGTATTTTTTAAATATAAATGGATAAATAAGTAAGACGCATAAGCAAAAAGAACACCAACTTAGAGATGTTGCGGAAAATAGGAATTATTATTAATTTAGAGTATTGGTTGCTTCCCATGTAAAGTGTCTCGAAGTGACTTACAGTTAGTGTAGGGGAAACTCTTTTAATTGCTACTAAGGACAAATCTCTTGGCCCCAAAGGTCATGCGTATCCCTTGAAATTTGCTTTTATGTTTGGGCCAGCTGTTCCCCTACCTGGGGCCCAGGGTCTTGGCAGCGACTGGGACAAGCGAGGGCAAAGATCTACCTCTGCGAGTCCCACCCCTGCCCAGCACACTCTGGATGGTATCATGTGACATGTCACATGGCCAGGCCCCCTCAATGTGGGAGAGGGGCAAGTCGCCACCCCTGCCAATCATCAACATTTCTCTGATGTAATTACTAAATGAAAAATCAAGGCCTTGAGACAAAGTGTGATGGCCTGGGATTCGGACTCGGATGCTGAACCTGAGGGATCCCAGCCTGCACAGGATTCCCACCTCCAGAACCAGCTGAGCCGGGGCTGGGGCCTGAGCCTGAAGGGTCCTCACCTGTGTTGGATCCTCAGGTGCAGGCACCAGCTGAGTCTGCTCTGGCTCCTGAGGTGATGGAGGACCCATTGCCTGCAGGTGCTCCACTCTCAGCCCCGTCAGGGGAAGAGGAGGTTGCCTCTGGGTCTGGTAACCCTCTAGCCTCTCCTGAGCTGCAGAGGCTCAGAGCAGAGAGGCGGAGAGAACTAAGTTCCTGCAGGAGGAGTGCTTGCCTCCAGGCCAGGAGAGGCGAGTCACCAGAGGATTGGGGCCGCCCTATGCCTCGGGGCAGATAAAAGCCGGCCAGCCCCAGTCCCAAGGTGCAGGAGCAACACTGTTGGTTGCTAGTTCCTGCCTGGACCCTGTCCTGCTTTCCTGCCGGAGCTCCTGACCCGCCCTGGCTCCCTGCTTGCAAGCCTGTTCCTGACTTCACCCGACTCCCTGCCCTGCACCCAGCTTCAGCTACTACAGACTGCCTGCCCGTTGCACCTTTGACCACGGACCGGACTTGGACCTCGCCTCTCGGGTAACCCACGGAACCAGCACACAAAGGTTGCCTTAATGCAACAGTGATAGGGAACCTATGCTCTTCCAGATGTTTCTGGACTACAACTCCCATCATCCCCGACCTCTGGGCATCAGCTGGGGCTGGTGGGAGTCGAGTTCAACCATATCTGGAGGCCACAGGTTCATCCAATCCTGCTTTTAAAGGGGCAGGCAGGAGTTGCCACTTGCGATTCCTACTGACAGCTGAAAGCTCTGTTTATGCTTCTGGGAGCCATTCACAACCCCTCGACTGTCCTTCTCTTTCCTTCTTATCCACAATGCCAGCTTACTTTGGAATCAGGAAAAGTCTCCTTGAAGAAAGTCGGAAGCCAGGAGAGGAGGGTGAAAAAGGAGCCGGCCGCACACAGTTGAGCTGTGATCACTGCCCTGGGGGGAGATATACAGGAGAAGCCACAGTTAGATGTGGTGGATAATTAGTGTATGCACAACAATAACAATAACAATAACAATATTTTTTTATTTATACCCCGCCCTCCCTGGCCAGAGCTGGGCTCAGGGCAGCTAACACCAGTAAAATTGCAATAAAAACATAATAGGGGAGGGGGAAAACCAACAATTTAAAATACAGGTTAAAAATACAATTTAAAATGCAGCCTCATTTTAATAGTAGCCCATAGATCAAAACCATAAGGGGAGGGAAACATAAGGGTCAGACTGAGTCCAAACCAAAGGCCAGGCGGAACAGCTCTGTCTTGCAGGCCCTGCGGAAAGATGTCAAGTCCCGCAGGGCCCTAGTCTCTTGTGACAGAGCGTTCCACCAAGTCGGGGCCAGTGCTGAAAAGGCCCTGGCCCTAGTTGAGACCAATCTAACCACCTTGCGACTTGGGACCTCCAAAGTGTTGTCATTTGTGGACCTTAAGGTCCTCTGCAGGGCATACCGGGAGAGGTGGTCCCATAGGTACGTGGGTCCTAGACCGCATAGGGTTTTAAAGGTCAAAACCAGCACCTTAAACCTGACCCTGTACTCCACCGGGGGCCAGTGCAGTTGATAAAGAACTGGATGAATGTGATCCCGCAGCAAGGACCCTGTAAGGAGCCTCGCTGCGGCATTCTGCACCAGCTGGAGTTTCTGGATCAGCTTCAAGGGCATACACATACACGTTGTCAAGGAAACTGAGCAAGTACTATAACTGGCAGCTCAGGAACAGAGCATGTGCAGAACAGGGATGGGGAAACTTTGGCCCTCTGGCTGTTGCTGGACAACTACTCCCATCACCCCTGACCACTGGCCACATGGGGCTGAGGCTCCTGGGAGATGGAGTCCAACAATACCTGGAAGGTCCAAGGCTCTCCAGCCCTGATTTAGAAGGTCTCAGGTTTGGTCCCTAGTATCTCCACTTGAAGAAGACTCAGGTACAGAGGAAGAACCTCTCCCTGAGACCCTGGAGATTTACAGCCAGACAAAATAGATGACATGGGACTTGCTAGAAGGACAAATAGCGAGATGGGATATAAGCAGGGATGTTGGAGGATTCTGATGGAATAAGATATCCGCTTGTTTGTTCTATGTCCAGAAAGGAAATCAATCTGGCAAACATGATTGATATTCACTGTTGTTGGTGCCTTCGGTCCACAAACAATATGCAATTGATTATTCCAACCCCCCCCCCCAACCGTTTGAATTATGTTTCATTTGCACTGGAATGAATGGGGTGGAGTAACATAACGACGCGGGTGGCGCTGTGGGTAAAAGCCTCAGCGCCTAGGGCTTGCCGATCGAAAGGTCAGCGGTTCGAATCCCCGCGGCGGGGTGAGCTCCCGTTGCTCGGTCCCAGCGCCTGCCAACCTAGCAGTTCGAAAGCACTCCCAGGTGCAAGTAGATAAATAGGGACCGTTTACTAGCGGGAAGGTAAACGGTGTTTCCGTGTGCTGCGCTGGCTCGCCAGATGCAGCTTTGTCACGCTGGCCATGTGACCCGGAAGTGTCTCCGGACAGCGCTGGCCCCCGGCCTCTTGAGTGAGATGGGCGCACAACCCTAGAGTCTGTCAAGACTGGCCCGTACGGGCAGGGGTACCTTTACCTTTACCTTTAACATAACGACAATGTAATTTGAGTACAGTGGTACCTTGGGTTACATAAGCTTCAGGTTACAGACTCCGCTAACCCAGAAATAGTACCTCGGGTTAAGAACTTTGCTTCAAGTTGAGAACAGAAATCGCGTGGCGGCGCGGCAGGCCCCATTAGCTAAAGTGGTGCTTCAGGTTAAGAACAGTTTCAGGTTAAGAACGGACCTCCGGAACAAATTAAGTACGTAACCAGAGGTACCGCTGTACAGGGGAATGTTGGTTCTTGAAGTTAATCCATTCTGGAAGTCCGTTTTGACTCCCAAAACGTTAGAAAATCAAGGCGTGGCTTCTGATTGGCACCGGCGCCCCAGAAATAATAGCTGATAGCTGCATTGGACGTTTGGCTTCCGAAAAACGTTCGAAAACTGGAACACTCCCTTCCGGGTTTTCAGTGTTTGGGAGCCGATTTGATTGTCAACTAAGCCGTTCAAGAACTAAGGTTCCACTGCAATTAATTATGTAATTTCATCATAGTGGAAAGTGAGACAAATAATGGTATTTGACAGAAGATGAACTGAAGTGGAAGGGAAACAGTGCTGCATGCGACAAATGCAGGATGGAAAGGGTAACAACATATTTTTACCCCCTGGGTATAAGGCAGCTGCTGATGTATTGTGAACTGTGGGGTGGATGTGGGGTTTACTGGGGAAAGTAGAGAATCGGACAAACAGCAAGCTACCATGAGGGCTAGAAACTTACTTTTAAAGAAATTGAAAGCAGAGGCAGCTGAGCACCAGTCACGGCCAGAATGGAAAAAGAAGTAAAAAAGATTTGTAGGTGGAAGCAGTGCAAACGTAGCCCTGTTCACATATCTCAAAGCATAGAGGCACCAGTTGACTCTACTCCAGGTATCCTCAACCTGCAGACCTCCAGATGTTTTAGCCTACAACTCCCATGATCCCTAGCTAACATGACCAATGGTCAGGGATAATGGGAATTGTAGTCCAAAACATCTGGAGGGCCGAAGGTTGGGGATGCCTGCTCTACTCTGCCTGACTTCTGCTTCTTTGCTAGCATATCTGGAGAACTCTTCGCGTGGTCAGGAACCTCACTTGCATGAAGGGCCCCTGCACATATAGCTGTATTAGCAAAGGTTGGCCTTTATGAGAACTGGACGGATGAATACATGACAATGACTTACCATACAGGGGCCTTTTTGAATATCTGTTTCCAAGGCACTTTGGTCTGTTTGGATAAGGAGAGGCCCTTTGCTAAGTCTTCCAAAGGGATGATGAGTTCTGCGTAAAGCAAAGAAGACATATCTAAACCCAGGGCTTAATAATATCCAGAATCAATGCATACAGGGGCTGAAACGGAACGTATATAACATCTAAACATTCTCCCTATCTATTAGCATCAACAGAGAACTATCTTTTAACAAGGGACGCAGGTGGCACTGTGGGTTAAACCACAGAGCCTAGGACTTGCCAATCAGAAGGTTGGCGGTTCGAATCCCCGCAACGGGGTGAGCTCCCGTTGCTCGGTCCCTGCTCCTGCCAACCTAGCAGTTTGAAAACAAGTCAAAGTGCAAGTAGATAAATAGGTACAGCTCCGGCAGGAAGGTAAACGCCGTTTCCGTGCGCTGCTCTGGTTCGCCAGAAGCGGCTTAGTCATGCTGGCCACATGACCCGGAAGCTGTACGCTGGCTCCCTCAGCCAATAAAGCTAGATGAGCGCCGCAACCCCAGAGTCGTTCATGACTGGACCTAATGGTCAGGGGTTCCTTTACTTTATCTTTTAACAAGAACCTAATTCAAATCTGCCTTGTCATAGTGCTGGCTTCTTTCGATTCATTTTCTAGCAATTGCAAAGCTTATTTTGCTCATCCTTCCCACAATCCCTTATTCACACAATGTGCCAAATGCCACATTAGTCCACAATGAGGTCCACAAAAGCACACTTCAGGTTTCTGATGATCAGCTGGGAGGGAGGCCTTGCACTGAAAGTGTCATTTACCCTTTCCATTCACGAGGTATTTGCGCATGCAGTAAACCCACAGCAACGTCAGAGTCCCCGAGAAGTAGAAGACACTCTTCCAGCCATACCAGTCGAGCAGCAGGGACCCGGCGGCCCCCATCACCAGTGTCCTGGAAGGGGGAGGGAGAATTAGGACAACAGGAAGGGAAATGGGGGTTTCTGCTAACCTGGCAAGGACTTTCCCCACCTGACTGACCCCACCCTCTGGCCTTCAAAAGGGGGCTGTTTCCTCTGCGAGAGTCATGGGGGTGGGTAGAGTGAATTTTGCGAATTCAGCAGTGCTGTTTGTTTTGGGCTGTTTGTTCGTTAACGCTGTTAATACTGTTTTGTGGATCATGAGTGCTGTAATGCTTTGCCAGTTTTATTGTGTTTTTAATATTCTGTTGGGAGCCACCCAGAGTGGTTGGGGAAACCCAGCAGATGGGCGGGGTATAAATAACAAATAATAATAATAATAATAATTTTTGATGGATTTTTCGGAGCTAGCCGACCTGACCGGAAGAGTCCGTGATCAGGAGGAGGAGGAGCACCAGGAAGAATGGAAGAATTTCAAAGACTATTTACTTAAATATGCTAAGATAAATTGAATAGAAATACTTGCAAAAAATAGATAGGCTAAGGATTTAAATATGTGAAGTTATATAATAATATGTTTAAAGTAAGGATGAAAAGAAACAATGTTAAGAGGATTAAGTAAATTTTATGAGATTTTGTTTTGGAAAACCGTTACAATGATATGTATTGAAATTCAGTCAAGGGAATTTGAGGAAGTCACTTAACAATGTCATTAAGATTGGAATAAGTACAGTTATGATGCATGTTTGTTTGTTAGTTTAAAATTTTGGAAGATTAATTTAAAAATTTGAAAAAAAATTTTTTTATTATAATATGACTTTTATTGCGGTTGCGCTGTTTAGCCTCTTTTTTATTTTCCCGTCAGGCTGCAAAAAAAACAGATTTGGAGAGGCGGGAAAAGGAGCATGAGTAGCTCAGTCAGTAGAGTATGAGACTCTCAGTCTCAGGTTCGAGACCCAAATTGGGCAAAAGATTCCTGCACTGCAGGGGGTTGGACTAGATGACCCTAAGGGGCCCCCTTCCATTTCTACGACTCTACTAGTAGAATTTATCTTGTAACTTACCCAAACTGAGATCCTGTCCCAACCGTGCTGTATGTGAATGCCCTTTCGTTCTCCCGCACTTTCCGGGAAAACAGGCTTGCCAAGGCAGGAAAGTAAACCCCTAATAAAAGGTCGAGGGGGAGGAAATTCCGTTTTAATCAGCAACAGGTTTGATGCAGGTCCTGTGAACGCTACACAGCTCCTCTTTGCCACTGATTGCCTAAGAAATTCATCTCTCTTTTTTAATTCCACACCCAACAGAGTACAGTGGACGCTCGGGTTGCAAACGTGATCTGTGCGGGATGCACGTTCGCGACCCGCATCTGTGCATGCGCGGGTTGCGATTTGGGGCTTCTGCGCATGTGCAAAGCGCGATTTAGCGCTTCTGCGCATGCGCGACTGCCGAAACCCGGAAGTAACCCATTCCGGTACTTCTGGGTTTCAGCAGTCCGCAACCTGAAAAAACCAACCTGAAGGGGACACAACGTGAGGTATGACTGTAATGGCGCTGTTTGTCAACATTCTGTTGCTGGCACCTTTCCCTCCCAAACCCTGAATATTGTGAGCACTGCCTATCCAAACGTTTGCCAGGAGGGCCACACAGGGCCTTTTTTACCACATGCGTCTTTGGATAAAGGTTGACACATGCTGTGTGGGATGTGATACATAAGTAGCAGTCAAGTACAACATTCCTTGTTTTCCTAGAGTGGACATGCAGGGGAATGTTCGGTCCAGCCAGTCAAAAACTTCCTGTTTCCTCCTGGCTGGGACGTACTTCCTTTGCATGTGACTAGAGGTGGGCGTGACCTTACTAGTCCAGATAACAAAAGGACAAGGCACACAGCACTCTCTTTCTTTTTGACTTCCCCCATCGTTGGAGCAGCTTTTAGCTAGATATGCTCTGTTGACTTTCAGCCAACAGAGGACACTGGGATTATCCCCATATCGGAGAGCTTCACATGTATATACTTTGTAACTAAGTCTGCATTCAGGGATCCAGCTGTGAACTGAATGTGAGTAAACTACTTTTATATATTTTACACAAGACTGTGGCGTGTTTATTCTTTTAAGAGGGATATAAGGGAACTTACCAGGAACCTAATAGTGAGAGGCGTACACAAGCCTGCAACCAGCTACCCGCTGCACGTTTATAAGGGGAATGTGAAACTTTTTTTAAAAAAATCAGTTAATATATTTGCCCTCCTCCAAGAAAATACAGTGGTGCCTCGCAAGACGAAAATAATCCATTCCGCGAGTCTCTTCGTCTAGCGGTTTTTACGTCTTGCGAAGCAACCCTATTAGCGGCTTAGCGGATTAGCGCTATTAGCGGTTTAGCAGCTATTAAAGGCTTAGCGGCTTAGTGGCTAAAAGGCTATTAGTGGCTTAGCGGCTTAGAAAAAGGGGGGGAAAGCGAAAAAAATAGCAAGACTCGCAAGACGTTTTCGTCTTGCAAAGCAAGGCCATAGGGAAATTCGCCTTGCGAAGCGCATCGAAAAACGGAAAACCCTTTTGTCGAGCGGGTTTTTCGTCTTGCGAGGCATTCGTCTTGCGGGGCACCACTGTAGCTGTTTACTTGGCCGTCTTCCAATAATAATAATAATAATAATAATAATAATAATAATAATAATAATAATTCATTATTTATACCCCACCCATCTGGCTGGGTTTCCCCAGCCACTCTGGGCAGCTTCCATCAGAATATTAAAATACAATATGTCCCATGTCATGAAGGCTGAAATTTCAATTCAGTGGAGGAGGGTCAAGATATTAACTGATATGGATGAAATTTCAGATATAGCTATATAATTCCTAGTGTAGTAAAATAAGTCCTTTGGAGCAGGCATTTTTTTTTAAAAAAGTTTTTTATGAACTGCCCTACTGCTAAGTAAAGGAACTTGCTAGCGCAAGTTAGAAAGGATATTAATAAACAATATATCCTCTCCTGTCTCCCTGAACATTCCCACATGCTGCAATGTGCATACTGCCTGCAAGCCCTTTTTGGCAAACGGTCATGGCGTGATACGAGCGGTCCAGGTGAATGAAAGAACTGGTGAAACATTTTAGTTAGGCTGCACTTTTTTGTGTGGGTGCACCTAAGTAAATTCATTCATTCATTTCCTTCCTTCCTTTTGGATCATTGATTGGCTGAGCTCCCACAGTCTGTTTCTTGGGAATTTTGGGACAGTCTTGGAAGCAGATCGTCTCACCTTGAAGCAAGCCCATAAGGAACCGGGAGAAAGCGATGAGAACCAGGTGAGCAGAGCCGACATAGGTGAGCAGAGGTGTGATGGCCGTGATGGAGCCCCAGACGGATGCAGAGAGAAGGATAACTTTCACTCCTCCTATCCTAGAATGCAGAGAAGAGTCAGGGTACCGGCCCCAAGGGTGTTTTCTGCACTCCAGGTCCCAAGTTCCCAACCTTACGCCTATGCAAAGCCCGCAAGTAGGACCTAGGTGCCACAACTGATATTCAGAAGCATGCTGCCTCTAAAAGAAGGATATAGCCTTCAGGCAGGGTGGATAAAAATCAATGATTTAAAAAAAAATTAAAAAATCGGATTTTTAAAATTTAAATCAGTTTTTTAAAAATTTAAATCGGATTTATAAATAAAATGCTTTTGGAGGAAAAAGTTTTCTAAAGATAGTTTTCTATTTAAGTTACATTATAGTCCAAAGGAAATAAGGATTTGTTTTAAGTTTTTCATGTGTGCTAAAACTCAGTCTCAGTTTGTTTTTAAAAAGTTGTTTAACCACATCAGTTAACAAACATGGATATATATGCTATAATGCTATTGTTTTAGTTAAATAAGTTGTTTAAATTGTTATTAAGGAAATGATTATTTTTCTCCTTCCAATAAAGTGCAGCAGAAAAGTTGTCCAGATATAAACAGTTATTTAACCTCACAATAATTTCATAATTGGGACGCGGGTGGCGCTGTGGGTAAAAGCCTCAGCGCCTAGGGCTTGCCGATTGAAAGGTCGGCAGTTCGAATCCCCGCGGCGGGGTGCGCTCCCGTTGCTTAGTCCCAGCGCCTGCCAACCTAGCAGTTCGAAAGCACCCCCGGGTGCAAGTAGATAAATAGGGACCGCTTTCTAGCAGGAAGGTAAACGGCGTTTCCATTTGCGGCTCTGGCTCGCCAGAGCAGCGATGTCACGCTGGCCACGTGACCCGGAAGTGTCTCCAGACAGCGCTGGCCCCCGGCCTCTTGAGTGAGATGGGCGCACAACCCCAGAGTCTGGCAAGACTGGCCCGTACAGGCAGGGGTACCTTTACCTTTACCTTAATTTCATAATTATCTGTCTATGTATTTCTAATAGTATAACCAAATCAGTAATTTTTGATATAACTGTAAAAACTATTATTCCAAAAATGAAACCTTCATCTGATTGTAAATATTAAGATGATACCAGCAAGAATGAGTTTTTCTGTGAAAGAAATGATTTAAATCAAGTCTTACGGACTAGTGATTTAAAGTGATTTGATTTAAATCAAATCGACCCCGCCTTCAGGGTTAGTAGCCACGGACAGCTGCCACTCAGAATCCAAGTGGCGAAATAAAAAGTTCTAAATCTAGCGGATTTCAAATAAGCGTGGCTCTTCCCTTCGGCTCTAGAAGGGGCACAGTGCGAGACAAGTCATACCGATCGCTCAGGTGGCCTCCGGCGATTTGGGTCAGACAGTAGCCCCAGAAGAAGCTGCTCAGCACAATGCCCGACTGCCTCTTGTCCCAGTCGAAGTGAGCGCTCATGGCGGCAACAGAGATGGGCAGGGCGACCCTCGTGCAGTAGAGCAGGCAGGTCCCAAGTAGCAACGCTACGGTCCATATTCGAGATTCAGGCCTGCAAACATCAAGAGAAAGGAACACTCCTTTAAAAAAAATGGCTGTTGCTGTTATTTTTTATTTATTTATTTTTTTATACCCTGCCTATCTGGCTGGGTTTCCCCAGCCACTCTGGGCGGCTCCCAACAGAATATAAAAAACACGATAAAACATCAAATATTAAAAATTTCCCTAAGCAGGGCTGCCTTCAGATGTCTTTTAAAAGTCAGATAGTTGTTTATTTCCTTGACATCTGATGGGAGGGCGTTCCACAGGGTGGGCGCCAACTACCGAGAAGGCCCTCTGCCTGGTTCCCTGTAACTTCGCTTCTCACAGTGAGGGAACTGGCAGAAGGCCCTCAGAGCTGGACCTGTGTCTGGGCAAAACGGTGAGGGTGGAAACACTCCTTCAGGTATACTGGAGGTATACAATTCAACACTTTGAACTGTGCCTGGAAACGCACTGGGAGCCAATATAGGTGTCTTCCCAAAAACTCATCCCAAACCCAAACTCCCCAAAAGTGTCATGGCGATCAGCAAATGGTAACGGGGGAAGGACTGTGAAATCTGGAAGCCCCTAGTCATGAACAGGCACATGGGTGGTGGATACAGATTCAGTTGTTCCGACTCAAGGAATGAGGCAGTTGAGCAGCTTGGCAGCTGTATCCATGACTGAGCAGCACAATCTTACTCAGCTACCAGTGATCGCCAAAAAGAAGACGACTTGGCAATGCTTTTAAACGCCTCTGCTGTTACTTCTGTGCTGTTTTCAACTGTCTTTACTGTATTTTGAGCCTTGCCATGAGACATGTGCATGAAAGGCGATTTAATAATTTTCCTGCACTGGAAAGAGGGACGGACTCAGTAACCTCTGAGGTCCTTCCTGACTCTTACGACTTTGCAGAGGAACAGCCGAGGACGAGAGAGGTTGGCTTTCCAGAGGCAAGATCTGAAGCGGGGGCTTCCTGACTTGCAGGCCGGCTGTCACTTCCCCATCACCCTTCGTGCCTGTTACACTCAATCTGATTCAGATCACATAGCGCAGCAAGGCAGGTCCCCTTCAGGGCCTCGGCAAGTCCAACTGGTCTCCCTTCCCGTAGCAGCTCCTCACATTGTCACAGGCCTTCAAAAGGCCTGCCACTCACCTGTCATCCTGAACTGAGCTGGCACGGCAGCCCCAGCAGTGGATTAGCAATCCTGACGGTAACTTGGCACGGCGCCCAAATCCTTTGCGGGAGGGCAAAAAGAGAACGCGCTCGCTCCTGCCTTCCGCGAACACAGTTCTTGGCAAGGGATGCCTTCTCCGACTCCACAGCCGTTTTGAGCGAACAAAATTTATTTATAATACATTAGCAAACCTGCTAGGCAGTTTGTTGCAAATGGAATACAGATCCGGATTTGTTTATTTTTAAGCACTGTAGATTTCATTTAATAGCCTGTGTTTCCCACTGAGGTAGAAAGGCAGAATTTAAGAGCTGGACACCTGCCTTTTTGCTCTGCTCTGCTGAATAAGACCCATCTAAACGGGGACTGCAACTAACCCAGGTCATTTGTCCCAGTTCTCACAAAAATATTTAACTCTCATCATCATCAAGAATTACTGAATGCACATAGCATACATCACAGGCAAAATACCATGTGCAGTTGACAATGATGATCACCATTAAGCCATGTCAAAATGGTGTGTATTTATTTTTATTTCTACGCAATGTACATTTTTAATTGCTGGCTTTATTTATATTTTGATTTTTTACCCCAAGGACTTCCTGCTTTTAGCTCCTAGCTTTGCATTGATCATTTTAACGTATGTAAACTGCTTAGAAAAAGGGACGCGGGTGGCGCTGTGGGTTAAACCACAGAGCCTAGGACTTGCCAATCAGAAGGTCGGCGGTTCGAATCCCCGTGACGGGGTGAGCTCCCGTTGCTCGGTCCCTGCTCCTGCCAACCTAGCAGTTCGAAAGCACATCAAAGTGCACATAGATAAATAGGTATCGCTCCGGCGGGAAGGTAAACGGCGTTTCCATGTGCTGCTCTGGTTCGCCAGAAGCGGCTTAATCATGCTGGCCACATGACCCAGAAGCTGTACGCCGACTCCCTCAGCCAATAAAGCAAGATGAGTGCCACAACCCCAGAGTCGGCCACAACTGGACCTAATGGTCAGGGGTCCCTTTACCTTGACTTTAAACTGCTTAGAGGTTGGAGCGTTTTTACAGTTAAGCAGTATCCACTCATTCTGTTAAATAAAAATGAAAGCAAGCAGCGAATCCAATTTATAAGGTTTAACAACCAGCAACCAACAGGACAAATATTTTTCCAGCAAGAAAAGAAGGGTCAATTCCACACTTAGCAGAAACAATTCCCCCCCCCCTTATTTTTTTGGGTCCATGCAGGCATGTGACAGCATCATGGAGGCATTAGTGGGAGTTTGCTATCTGATTACCACGGCCATCATGGTGGCTTGACCCAAAATGTCTCAGAATGGGAGTCCGGGTTTTGACAAAAGAACTTTAACTTTCCTGTTCCGGCTCTAGATGTTCCCTGAATAAGCTCGTCCACCTGCAAGGATGGGGTCCAAAGGGGTTGCTTGGCAGACTGTGCAACAGAAGCAATACAGTTCTGAATTTTGAGAAAGAGGGACAGAGGAAGACCTGTGCGCTGGCTGAAACACGGAGAGATCACAGTAAAAGCGGGCAATTGCGACATAATGCTCCGTTCGAGTTGCAAACACTAGCTTGACCCCTTGCACACATTTTACAGGAGGGAAAGGGGAAAATGCAAAGGGCATTATAGATTACTATCTTGTTTTCCAAATACTCTGCTTGTGTAATAGGATCTTGGCCTTCCTTAGGAAACCAAGGCCTCTTGGGTCTGTTGACAGTCTGTGGACATTGTGGCTTTAATATTTTCCCTACTCCTTAGCCTTATAACCCTCTCCATGCCCTTTTGCTTAACATCCAGCGCAATGAAGGGCTCTGCAGAACTCGTATGTTTGCTCACAAAAGAACTCCGGCGTTTTGGTTGGTCCTCCTGTCATACATTTGCACCCTGCCTTTCCCCTGAGCATCTCAGAACTTTCGAACATGGCCTTTCGCCAATCCACCATTTTATCCTCCTAACAACCAACCCTGCAAGGTAGGCAGAGAGGTAGCACCTGGCTAAAAGATCACTCAGCACACTTCATGGGTAAAAGTACGGCTCTACCGTCCATTTTAGATTCCGCCTCCCCATGGACCAATACAGTTGCGTATTAAGAAAGAAAGTCATTTTGCAAGAAGCCGAGTTACAGGGAACCAGGCAGAGGGCCTTCTCGGTAGTGGCACCCGCCCTGTGGAACGCCCTCCCACCAGATGTCAAAGAGAAAAACAACTACAGTGGTACCTCAGGTTACATACGCTTCAGGTTACAGACTCCGCTAACCCAGAAATAGTGCTTCAGGTTAGGAACTTTGCTTCAGGATGAGAACAGAAATCATGCAGCAGCAGTGCAGTGGCAGCAAGAGGCCCCATTAGCTAAAGTGGTACCTCAGGTTAAGAACGGTTTCAGGTTAAGAACCGACCTCCAGAACGAATTAAGTTCTTAACCTGAGGTACCACTGTACCAGACTTTTAGAAGACATCTGAAGGCAGCCCTGTTTAGGGAAGCTTTTAATGTTTAACAGACTATTGTATTTTAATACTCTGTTGGGAGCCACCCAGAGTGGCTGGGGAAACCCAGCCAGATGGGAGGGGTATAAATAATAATAATAATAATTTATTGTTATTAAAGACCATTGCTCCCAAATTCCAGGCTACAAGACACTTGGGTTCAGAGTTCGAAATTCGCCAGGCGCATTTTCCACATTGCTACTGGCCACTTGTGACCAAGTAAAGATGCGCAAGAGCCAAGATGATGCATCTGGAGGATTTTGACTGTTTTCACACGCTAGCAACGCATCCTGTAGAATTCTATCCGTTATATTTTTATCTGCACAATCGGAATGAATTTCAGGAACCAAAATGTCATATTGAAGAATATGACTTCCGAGCCACCTGACCCCCAAATGGCAACTGGACATTCCGTTTTGGTGACCGTAACCCTGGTTTAAGGAGCCATTTGGCGCCTAGTTTATATACATGGCTGTCAACTTATCCCTTTTCTTGCGAGGAATCCTATTCGGAATAAGGGAATTTCCCTTAAAAAAGGGAAATGTTGACAGCTATGCTTATATATCTTGAGTTTCTAACACTGCTGGGGTTGAATGAAGGATTCCGCTGGTGCAAGAGGACTTCCTTTTCCTCATCTACCTCCCGCGACCACCTTCCAAATCTGCTCTGGGGGGGGGGGTCCCAAACATCCAGAAAATATTTTGAGAGGCAGGGACTGGAAGGGACAGGAGAGGAAATTCAAGCCAACTGCGTGCAAATAACTCTGGAGCTGTAAGCCTTTGACAAACAGCCTCCTTCCCTGTTTGTCATAACTTTTTCCCACATTTACGCAACAATTAACTAACCAGCCTACGTATATTTACCATGTTGTGGAGAATGATTAACCAAGCCTTGCCATGCATTCAAAAACAGCTCAGAACCGCATTAGCCCTACTGGTTTCAGTCAGGCTCAGTCCACGTCTACAACAGAGGCAAAGGAGCCAACTAAATCGCTGTATGAGTGGGAATGAGTTTTGCAAGGTCAATGGCGCCTATGCCTACACTGCTCCCAAATTTGGGGCAACCAACTATCAGAGCACATTTGTGGGGAGCCTGGGGAAGGACTGGGGGTGGGACGTTGTTCTGCTTACTCAATTATTTCGTGTTATAAGCAGTGCTTTTTTTTCTAAAAAAAATGTTTAGAAGGCAGCCCTGTTCAGGGAAATTTTTAATGTGTGACATTTTAATGTATTTTTAATCTTTGTTGGAAGCCACCAAGAGTGGCTGGGGAAACCCAGCCAGATGGGTGGGGTACAATTATTATTATTATTATTAGTATTATTATTATTATTATTATTTTGACTCAAGAAAATCACCATTTTATAATCGGGGAAAATAAATAGAGTAAATGGGAAAAAGTAAAAAAATTCACAAAATGTTTTGGGGTATGCGTACCCCTGCGTCCCCTGAGAAAAAAAGCACTGGTTATAAGAATTTCAAGGTCTCTGTATAGAATATTCATATATGCACACATATCTAAATATATGAACCATGTGTCTGACTAAGTTTGTTATTGGTATGAGCTTTCGTGTGCATGTACACTTCTTCAGAAGTGTGTTGGTCTCTAAGGTGCTACTGGACGGAATTTTTTTATTTTGTTTCGACTACGGCAGACCAACACAACTACCTACCTGTATCTAATAGTATGGGAAAGCTATCCTGAAGCCATTTTGACTCTCAAATATTCCTCTGCAGTAAGGGAGGCAAATGGGGAAAGCCTTCCCATTGGCCTTTTGCTTGCAAATTGTGTCCTAGGGGCGTATTTGTGTATGAATAGGGTGAGCCTGTGTCCTGGATTCAGGAACTAACCATCACAAAAGAATGGCCAGACTGCCCAGGTAATGCAATCAGTAACCATTATCAGGTATCCTAGAAGACAGGATTTCTGCTGTAGATCGTCTCCTTCTGTGATGTATGTATGATGTTTCGTGGGGGGGGGGTTGGGCTACAGGGTGGGCAATTTCAAAAGTCTATATAAGGGCCTGTGCACCATTGTTCATGGTTCTCCTCCCTCCTGTATGGTGTGTGGGGACCCTGTTGCAGCCGTTCCTTGAATAAAGATCAGTCTTACTAGCTGATTTGCTTCTCAATATACTCTGGTTGACCTCTGTTATTTTCTCCTACTGACAGGACACCCACTTAAGGACTCTATACGGGCTCCGGAATACCCCATAAGCGAAAGGGAGCAGTTTTTCTTATAACATTAGTAAGCATCAACCAAAGAATCTGAGTTCTAGACCAAAGCTTGGGGTGGGTGGATAAGTGTGGAAATTATGAATTTACCCCTTTCCACTGACTGGCTACATTTTGGAAAACTGATGCAAGCCTTGGTTGTGTTTAGTGTTACAAGAGAGAAAGCAGGCAAGGAGGTCATGACAAAAATTTCAACCTGTTCGCGGGAAAGGTACCCAATTTGGAAGTGGGTAGGAGTTATAGAAGGGACGCGGGTGGCTCTGTGGGTTAAACCACAGAGTCTAGGACTTGCTGATCAGAAGGTTGGCAGTTTGAATCCCTGCGATGGGGAGAGTTCCTGTTGCTCGGTCCCTGCTCCTGCCAACCTAGCAGTTCGAAGGCATGTCAAGTGCAAGTAGATAAATAGGTACCGCTCTGGCGGGAAGGTAAACAGCGTTTCCGTATGCTGCTCTGGTTCGCCAGAAGCGGCTTAATCATGCTGGCCACATGACCCGGAAGCTGTACGCCGGCTCCCTCGGCCAATAAAGCGAGATGAGCGCCGCAACCCCAGAGTCGGTCACGACTGGACCTAATGGTCAGGGGTTCCTTTACCTATAGTAGTTGTAGCTAGACACAAAGCATTGCTTAAGACAACTGGTTTGTTGCTTTTGAAAAGGGGAGCTTTGCTAAGTCTGTCGCAGGAAAAGCAACGCAGTAGTCTTGTGACATCTCAAAGACTTAAGCCACATTCCCACCAAATGTTTAAAGCACTATTGATACCACTTTAAACAGCCCTGGCTTCTCTCACCAAAGAACTCTGGGAGCTGTAGTTCATTATGGGTGCTGAGGGTTGCTAGGAGACCCCCCTCCAGAACTACAATTCCCAGAGTGGTTTAACAAATGAATCTCTCTCCTTTTTGGGAACTGTAGGCTTGTGAACGGAATGTGTTAACGTATAAGGTTTTATGCATGCAGAGGAAAAGGGAAAGAAAGGACTAATTTCGGTGTGCTGTCCATTAAATATTGGGGCAGGAAGCAATAATGACAGCATCTTACTTGCAGAACAGACTTTAACTTTGTGATCCAAGATACACCATTTCATTTGTTCTACAGGGTTAAATCCAGTGCTTTCCCCCCTAAAAACTCAAGAAAATCACCATTTTATAGTTCAAATCAGGAAAAATATATACAGTACAGTGATGTAAAATCTACTCTTTTTCCCTTATGGGGTATCCAAGAGTCTCTACAGAGTCCTTAAGTGGGTTCTCTGTTGGTTGGAGATTGGTTTACCTGGGCAGCCTGGCCATTCTTTTGTGATGGTAAATACTTTAATTCCTGAATCCAAGTCACAGGCTCACTCTATTCATATACAAACACGCCCTTAAGACAGGTAAGCAAAAGACAATGGAGAGGCTTTCCCCTTTCCTTCCTCCTTCCAGAGAAACATTTGAGGTCAAAATGGTTTCAGGATTGTTCTCCTGTACTATTTCAGACACGTGGTTTACATACTTATGTATGTGTTTGCCTTGTAAATTTAGGGACATTTAATCTATGTATTTGAGACCTCAAATTCTTACAACAACCGTAAATGGACAAAACTACAAAGATTCACAAAATGTTTAGGGGTATGCGTACCCCTAAGTCCCCCTCCCAAAGAAGGCTGATCGCCGTAGAATTGATGCTTTTGAATTATGGTGCTGGAGGAGACTCCTGAGAGTCCCATGGACTGCAAGAATAAACCTATCCATTCTTAAGGAAATCAGCCCTGAGTGCTCACTGGAAGGACAGATCCTGAAGCTGAGGCTCCAATACTTTGGCCACCTCATGAGAAGAGAAGACTCCCTGGAAAAGACCCTGATGTTGGGAAAGATGGAGGGCACAAGGAGAAGGGGATGACAGAGGAAGAGATGGTTGGACAGTGTTCTCGAAGCTACCAGCATGAGTTTGACCAAACTGCAGGAGGCAGTGGAAGACAGGAGTGCCTGGCGTGCTCTGGTCCAGGGGGTCACAAAGAGTCGGACATGACTAAACGACTAAACAACAACAACAACAACAAGTCCCCCCAGAAAAAAAGCACTGGGTAAACCTAAAGTGCAGCTTCCTAGAACTGTTTAAGTGTTTCTCTGTTCCTTGGGCACACTTCGTTGGCATGAGGATGGGCACTCTGCACATGCCCCAACAGAATAGGGATCTCCGAATAACCACTGGCACCCTTAACGATCTAGAGCTCTCAGGATTGTATTAAAGATAGCTTAAAAAACAAAATTAAAAGATCTCAGGTTGGCTAATCAGGGGCACCTTTTTAATTGATCTGTGAAGTGCCGTAAGCCCTGCAGTTCCAATTTCCATTGTCTAATTTTCCATTGTCTTGTTTCCTAAGCTCACTAGAAGGCATTCCGATGACTTGAAGGGGTGGCTCATAGCCTACTTAATGAACCCTTTCTCTCTATACACAGGTCACAAACCAGAACAACAACACTTTAGCTTGTTATGCTTGAGTCGGAGGCCTACATCTGCCAGACTAGTAAAGCCTTGCCAAAACAAACCCAGGGTTTGTGGAAATGCCCCAAACAAATTAGATGTGCATAAAATGGTTTGAAAGCGCTGTACTTTTCACAGGTACAAGCTAAGCTTTTTACAGCCCAAGTCCCAACTCAGAGAGGCAAGTTTCAGCCTTAGCTCTTAGCACATCCAAGAGGGCCAAATCATAATTCTTTTTAATTCTAGCCTTAAAAAATAAAAAATAAAGACTAACATTTGCATTTCTCTGAAGCAAATGCAACTTTGATGCGTAAGAAACAGAAAATAATGAACTAAAAGTGAATAATGCATGTTTACAAAATAAATGCATGGAAGCAATGCGATTCATTGGGGGAGGGATAGCCCAATAATAATAATAATAATAATAATAATAATAATAATGATTTATTTATACCCCACCCATCTGGCTGGGTTTCCCAGCCACTCTGGACGGCTTCCAACAAAATATTAAAAATACAATAAAATAGGTTTAGAATCATAGAACTGTAGATTTGGAAAGGATCCCAAAGATCATGTCGCCCAACCCTTTGCAATGCAGGGACCACAGCTGAAGAATTCCTGACCGCCAGCCACCCAGCTCCAATGAAGAGGCTGCATTGTGCTTATCTACATGACGTCTTCAAGAGCCCCAATATTTTTTGGGAATCGAACCCGCTGTTTTGCACGGCACTTGTAAATAATATACAATGACTCCACATGACAATTGCAAAGAAAGGGAATTGAGGGTGGAATAATAAGCTGTGGGCAAATCCGAACGAAATGGCTTTGAATCACATCCGGCAATAAAGAAAAGGGAATATGCGACCAGCTTCAGAATCAAAGCATTGCATAATTTATGTGCAAGTTATTTATGTACAGTACAAATTAGCACCAGAGCTTAATGTTCTGTCATGGGACAGGGAATAACTAACCACACACCACAGGGAGCAAAATAGGAGTTTGGGGGAATACAGTGCTCATAAATCCACAAACAGGAACTGTAACAGAAAGGAGAGAAGAGGACTGCCACACAATCGTTTATTATGGGGAGTCAGTGGGGCTCAGGAATGGGGCTCAGGAATGCAAGTTTTTCGCTGCACCCACAGGTTCCCACCATCGTCAAAATGACACCCTGGTTCTTCCCCCCTCCAATCAGCCTCGGCCCAGTATACCTGAAGGAGCGTCTCCACCCCCATCATTCAGCCGGGACACTGAGGTCCAGCTCCAAGGGCCTTCTGGCGGTTCCCTCCCTGCGAGAAGTGAGGTTAACAGGGAAGCAGGCAGAGGGCCTTCTTGGTAGTGGCACCCGCCCTGTGGAACGTCCTTCTATCAAATGTCAAAGAAATAAACAACTATCTGACTTTTAGAAGACATCTGAAGGCAGCCCTGTATGGGGAAGCTTTTTAATGTTTGATGTTTTATTGCATTAATAATAATACAGTGGTACCTCAGGTTACATACGCTTCAGGTTACAGACTCTGCTAACCCAGAAATAGTGCTTCAAGTTAAGAACTTTGCTTCAGGATGAGAACAGAAATGTGCTCTGGTGGAGCGGCGGCAGCAGCAGGCCCCATTAGCTAAAGTGGTGCTTCAGGTTAAGAACAGTTTCAGGTTAAGAACGGACCTCCGGAACGAATTAAGTACTTAACCCGAGGTACCACTGTAATAATATTCAGATGGGAGCCACCCAGAGTGGCTGGGGAAACCCAGCCAGATGGGCGGGGTATAAATAAATTATTATTATTCAGATTTAGCCTTTTCATGGGTTCCCTTCCCCACCCCATTTATCGTATTTTCTGCAGAAATGGTTAAATCCAGGTTAAATAGGAAATGGGATGGCATTTTGGGGCAGATAGTCCTTGCACGAACCATGCGTGTATTAACAGTGCAACCGATATATAGCTGTGTACTCACCTTACGTTTATTTAAAGCACATCCCCCCCCACACCCCCGAATCCTGGGAAATGCAGTTTGTTAAGGGTGCTGGAAGTTGTAGTATAAATTACAGCTCCCAATATTCTTTTTGGGGAGGGGTGTGTGTGCTTTAAATGTATGGTATGTGCACAAGCCTAAATGCACAGTAAACTGGCATGTGGAAGTATCCCAAGAGAGAGAGAAAGAGATGCAGCTGGAAACCACCGTTTTTGAAAGTTTTCCTTCTGCAGTTTGCTCCCTCCAGGTCTGGCACAGGGTGGCCTCCCCAAAGTTACCGTAATGATGCTGAAACTTACCTGGACCAAAAGAATCAGCGCCATCCTTTTTCATGCCCTCCTCCGTGGTCTTCAGCTGCTGCTTAAGATGATGGAGAGAGTGCAGATCAGCCCCGCACACCTGCGCTCCATTTTCACTGACACTCAGGGCCATTCAACTTTTTATTTTTTTAAAAAATAATAATAATCAGTACAAGGCAAAAGTCCTCTTGTACAACTGCTTATCGCCGCTGCCTAAATCTACGAAGCAACTGGATGCCAGCGAACAGATGGTGACACCCGCCCCCCGCCCCCGGGGAATAGGGGGGGGGTCAAAAAAAAAAAAGCGCGATGCTTTTGCTATTATTTTTTATGATTCAATGACTCGTTTATTGGACATGCTGATTGAATTTAAAAGCGGGAGGGGAAACCCAACCACCGGCCCCTCGGCCAAGTGAATCCATTCGCCCTGACAGTTTGCTGGCAGAGGAAGCGAAAAGCTGCGCGCAGCGCGTTTGGGGTGGCGAGAGGAGTTTTTATTTCGCCCTTCTGCAATAAGCACCAAGTCCACGTGTCACTTTTTTCAGCGTCTCCTCTTCCTGTGTGGGGATTTCTGCAGGAAGTCTCGCCGCAGAAGGTCGAGGCTGCTCGGGGGCGATGCTTGCAAAAGGAGGAGCCCGGGAGAGACGCGTTTGCAGACAGATGCAGAAGTCAGAAAAGGCCAAGGTCTCGCCGGAGGCGGAGATATTTCAAGAATCAGGTCAGGATGATGCTATCCAAGATCCGAAACAAGATGCGTTGTTGTGCTGGGCGATTTGGAGATCGCGCGCGCCGTTTTGCTCTTTCGTTCTTTTGCAGAATCTATTGCCGAGCGCACGATGCAGCGTCTCCTTTCCCCGTCCCTAGAACTTTGCGCTCTGAGATGGACGTCTCCCTTCTCTCTCCAGCAGCGCCTTTTGATCCTGTTCGTCATGTTTACAAACAGGATCCGGTGGAGGGATCGACGGGTGGTGGAAATTGCCAAGGGCTTCTGCACCCGCAAACAGAAAACTGAAAGCAGATGCGTAAGAGAGGTGGTGCCTGCGCGCCCTTCTGCTATTGCTGGTTCTCTGTGAAGCCAGACGGTGCAAACTTAGTGCATCAAGTCAGTGCTACCCTCTTTGAAGAAATGATATGAAAGGAAATACAGTACGCACTTCCCAGAATGGGTGCAAGACACACAGCCAAATAAAAAAAAAATGACAGCATGTTTCAACTTGTTTACCAAATCTGCCACTTTGGAAATAGGAGCTGCTGGGCAGAGTAAAGGTAAAGGGACCCCTGACCATTAGGTCCAGTTGTGGCCGACTCTGGGGTTGCGGCGCTCATCTCGCTTTATTGGCCGAGGGAGCCGGCGTACAGCTTCCGGGTCATGTGGGCAGCATGACTAAGCCACTTCTGGCGAACCAGAGCAGCGCATGGAAACGCCGTTTACCTTCCCGCCGGAGCGGTACCTATTTATCTACTTGCACTTTAACATGCTTTTGAACTGCTAGGTTGGCAGGAGCAGGGAACGAACAACAGGAGCTCACCCCGTTGCGGGGATTCGAACCGCCGACCTCCTGATTGGCAAGTCCTAGGCTCTGTGGTTTAACCCACAGTGCCAACCACATCCCCGCTGGGCAGGGTAGGGTAGTGAACTATAATTGTGTTGCATATATATTTATTCCTCAAATCAGTAAAGGTGCTTCAAGGTGGTTTACAACACTATCATGTGTTTTTTCTTTTGTAGGAAATCTCTGGAGCATTTGCTATGGTGCATCGTAACAAGTTCAATAAGAAAATAAAATGGTGTAATAATTTAGGTAAGAGGTTTTTCCGGCTTTCCATTCCGATACAGAGGTCTCCCCATTTATGCATGCCTGATTCACTCCAAACCACATGTATGTGTGGTGCCGGGAAATAAAGAAATCAATCTAAACTGCAGAAAGGTGTGACAAGGGCAAAAATGACCCAAAAAGTTGGAAAACTGCAAAAATGTTGTGAAAGGGGCAGGAAAACAGCTAGCAATCCGAGGAGATTTTGCATCCGTCTTTGACGCCTGTGGAGAATTGGAGCTTGAGAAAGGTTTGGAGGGAGTGATTATGGCGGAGTTTGGCTTTTTAGATGGGTCTTCCACGCTGTACGCAATTTTACACATTCATGCGGTACCCAGGAACGTAACCCCTGGGCAAGTGGAGAGACACCTGTATTTATTGTAAGCAGATGAAAACATGGTTACTGAACACTGCCCTAATTCCCTCCATTTTCTACTCGTTTTGCCCGTTGAATTGAATAATTGGATTGGCTATAAATTTGCCACATTTAACCCATGACAGCTCTTGGCCCAGTTGAGTGAACATCAGTTGGAGGCTTATAGGCCAAGTCCACCATCCAGAAAATGTCCATTGGCTGAGTCTGCCCACATATCTAAATATAAGAACCAGGTGTCTAAAATAGTATGGTAGAACAATCCAATCGGACTTTCTCTAGTGTAAATGTACACTGTTGCAAAGGATCCCGAATCCTCAGTGTTTAGGAAATGAAGGCTTAGGCAGTAATACAGTCATTTTGGACACTACAGGGTTTAACACATGAATTTAAGCAGCTCTTATAGCATAGCTTGAACTATGCGCACATGGTTTACTCAGAAGTATAGCTTTGCTTTCTTTGCATTATACACGGCCCATGCGTTCTTAATACATGTAGAAAAAACAAACAAGGCACTCTCACCGGTTAGGTTATCTTCATATTTAAGGCTGCTAATTTGGTTCATGTGACAAAATTATAATTGACAACCACTTTTGACCAGGTAGCTCTTAAGATTTTAGGAATGTCAGTGTGGGATAGAATAAATGTACATTCTGCTTACAAAAATGTAGGTTTTACCTTTCTTAGATTCTCTTACACATTTCAAAATGTGTATTAGTCCCAGCGCAGGGATGTTGCTTAAATTGACTCAATTAGTTATCTTAAAGGACAAAGTTCTTTTGCATACTGAAGAGTGCAGTGACATTAAATTCTTTGCCTAGTCTACAGCTAAGGATCATGTTGCACCCTTACTGAATGTGTGTTTTACATAATACAGTGTTCTGTATGCATACTCTTCCATTGTCATAATAACCTCTCATCCTCTTTGAAGAGAGTTCTAATCTCCTTGAGAAATAATGAGGGGAGAATCAGGATATTGTAGCTCTCACAGGTTTAATGAATGCAGCATGCATAGCTGTCATGTTCTATAAAATCTGTACCTTCTTTAAAAGAAGCACTTATTCCCAGAGAATCCCACCCACCCAATCACATTTTGAAACAGATCCTGTTTAGTCTCAGCTGATCTCAGAAATACAACTTCTGGACTGTGGCACTTGTGACTCCTGGGTTCCAGTTCAGCATGCTTTGGGTGTTAATTCTTCCTCCTTCTCACAATAGCTTCGCTTTTAGGAAGCTCTAGCATTCCGTGCAAATTGCATTCATGTCTTTTCTACTGCTCAAGTCCATACTTTTATTATATATTCTTTTAAATGGCCTTATCACATGTTGAAGTCCCCCTTCTTAGGGGAATTTTTAAACTATAAACCAAAGAGCACAATCACTAGAGAGAAGGAAAATAGGAACCGTGTGCCTTAGTTCTTACCCGTAGCCTCAGTTCAAAGCTAGGTATGGGTTTATTCTTTTTCTGTCTTTTAAAATATTCCATGAATGTGGTCTTCATTGAGCCAAGAAATCTATGCTAGGAATGTTGGGTTTTTTGGAAATTTAAGGAGATTGTCAGTTTAGAGCAATATATGGGGTAGTATGGCCCCCTCTGGTCCTCACCCTGTATTCAGCTCTCACTTGTGGCTCCTAGAAGTTGTCAGCATGCTACAGCAGCCACACCCCAGGAGCAGCTTCGACTGGCCAACTAAACCAGGTGAGGGTAGCCAATGGGTCTCAAATCCTAGGTGAGTTTGGGACTCCCCTGCATGTGAAGATTGAGCGGATGAGACCAATAGTGGGTCCAGTGGTCAAGAAGACTGTTTCTTCCCCTGCTGTAGAGGGAAGTGAGGGGCAGATGGGGCTCATCAACCTGGGAAGGAAGAAGGAAAGCTCTGATCCTAAACCTCTGCTTCCTTTGGGAGAAGAAAGGGCTAAGGAGTAAACTACACAAATCCGGAGTGGAGCCCCTAAGATGGTTGGATTGCGTCTTGTACAACTCCTGCAGCCAGGCTGATGCCAAACGTATTACTCTGCTTTCCTTTGGAACACATCAGAGAGGCTGAGAAGGCTGCCTTGTCGTCTGGGCAGCCCAGGACCCCCATACATACTGCTCAGGCTTAAACACCATGGAAGGTCATTTGGGTGCTGCTAACGCAGGGGTTTGACTTCACCCCCAGAAGTGTACTCTATTGTCTCTCGAAACAGATGGAAGCCAGAAACAGATGGAAGCGAGCAACACTACGGAACATATTCCTCATAAACACCACAGGTTGCGTCCAACGCTGCGTTGCAAGCTGAATGTATTTTTGTTTGTGAAGCAGAACTTCCTCCTTCCCCCTGCAGCATGCTGCACTGCCCTCAAGTTCTGTTCCAGAGCAATGGAAAAAAGTAGGTCTATAACCCAATTAAATATGTCTTAAGACTATAAAACTCATACAATTAAATCAATTAAATTTTCATATAAGTAAAAAAAAGTTATCATCACCAGCCATGCACACGTGTTTGCCTTTTAAGATAGTGCTCATCATACATTTTAGTATTTGCTTTTTTAAAAAATGAAATTTACTCTAATTATCACTTTTTAGGTCATAAAAATATCACTTGATTAAACTAAACATTGCCACACACAAAATCATTATGCAAATCACCACAACTTGATATATAAAGGTCTCAGAAATGAAAATCTTCTTGATATGAAATTCGAACCTGGTTGAGGAATATTAATATTATTTCAAGGGTACACACAACCCTGCCTCCTCTACAGTGATGGTTAGCAGTTACTAAGTGTGAAGGAGCGGGAGGCATTTAAACTTATTTTCCACACATACTTTTTATGACAGCATTTCAAAAACACAAATGTAAAACATATTGTTCAAAGTGGTATTTAATGCTAAGCAGTTAAGAGTGGCGATCTAACATTATGGAGCTAACAAAATTGCAATCATTCATCCATAGCCACCAGGATAAGACATTTCTCATGCATATGACAAATCCATTTACGTAGTGAGGGCTGATTCCTGTGTACAATATTTCATAAGTTATGGTTCACAGCCTCCCCCATTTGAGAATAATTCAAACTGATTATATTATATTTTGTATATGCAAACTATTTTATATACACATGAATATAAAGATCCCTAAAAGTACCATTGGGATGACACCCTTGAACTTTCTGTAAAATGCATAGCTTTCTTTCATACCATTTTAAATATTTTCTCTCAATTTACCCAAAAATCTTTACAGATTAAAGCTGCTTCAGTGTGTGATATTTTAAAAAAACCCAAAGGAAATAAATCTCAACTGTCATATTTAAATCTCTTGGGGAAATCTCACATATTTGGCTCTGAAATTAAATGAATTAAGTAAGCTAATGGAAATTCCAGTTATCTTTGCACTCTTGGAAGAAACCTTGTGCTCTAAACACACAGGAATCTTCTTAAGCAGGGTTGCAGTGCAGTATTTCTGGTGCAGTGACCTGTTCAACTTTGTGCTGAAAGCTGAAACTCCAAACATTTTCCAAACCTGCACTTTTGCATCCAACAGCCAAGAACAGGAAGAAAAGCTAGTCATAGTTGAGGAAAGGTTTAGAGCCATTTCACTTTCACTGTTTCACATTGTCCTTAAAACAAAAGATCTTTATCCACACGAATTGCAACTCTCTGTTCTTGGTTAAATGCAGCTACAGGTCATTTAACAGGAAACATCTGTCAGGAGCAAAAAGCTAGCCCATGACACTAAAAGTCAGGTGGTCCGTTTCGCAACAGCTTAAAACTGTGTGGCATCAGAGCTTCAGTTGGTGAAGACGGACTATATTCAACTAGACTTGTGAAACTAGTATATCTCAAAAGCTTGCACAAGAGTGCCTTCTCTAGAGCCAAGCTTCATACAAATGCCAACAAGTTTTCACAGTAGTCATCAGCAACTATGGGCACACATTTCCCCAGGAACCTCTCCCAAACAATTTCCATATATTTCTATGAGGTTTGCATGGAAGAGATTCCAAGTATGAAATTTATTGTACTAGCGAGTCCCAGTGACTAGCTAAGCATGCTAGAAGCCAAATCGTTTTAGGTTTATCATTTACCCACTAAGCTTAGGTTCTGAATGAATCGTCTAAAACGTTACTAAATTGATTGTGCAAACTGGGAGGAAGCTGCTTTCACGTAAGATTTGCATGGGAGGCTTGTGCATGTGTCGGAATTAAATCTACAGTGGCCAAATAGCCACAGGACTATAAGCAGCATTATTAACAGCTTTTCTACTGAATTCTGCCGTTTCCTCAACAGCCCTGCTGGCAACTTAACTGAATGGGTGTTTTGTATCGCCATCTTTGAAATAGCAAGGGTTAGTGCTTAATACTAAACAGCGGAACAAGTGAACATTCCTTTAAGACAGTCATACATGCGATGCAGCATCCCACACCTTAGCAAAAATTACAAGGCAGCAACAAAATAAGAGGGACTTCGTGGAATTACAGGGCCTTTAGCTGGTGTAGAAATAAGCTCTATCACCGTGATTCAAAATACCAGATGGGAATTCCAAGATGGAAGATCTGTAAAATCACAGTTCTCTTTACCCAAGGCAGGAAACTTGATAAAACCTCCACCATCATTATTATAAATTACAGCCCAAGAACTTCCATGCTATTTCAGTGTATCGGCATTACATCAGACGTTTATTCTAACTGGAAATGGCCCCAGCCATAACAACAAAGCTGAGTATTTTATACCCACCCCCCAAGACACACTGTTGGCATTAAGGATGTAGCTACCACCCACACCAATACTACAGCTGGTATTATTATTATTTTTAAAAAATAAACAAAACCCCAATGAAAGAAAATCTAATTACCAAGTGATTTCATGTCTTGTTTCAGAGGCATATTTTTGTCATTCTTGAAAACTATAAAATAAAAAGCCTTTATTGTCAGCAATACTTCGAAGAGAACTAGGCCCATCATGAATATAACATTCAGCCCCATATAAATAAGTCACCAAGGTGTGAAAAGCAAGGGAATTATGTCCAATTACAGCGTACAAGCTTCCTATGCTATACTCTATGCAGAAAAACAACATTGCCATGAGGTTTACAAAATGATCACTTCAACCAGTTGCTAGTTTATAAATAGGGAATGCATATTTGGCTATAAATTAACACAGAAAATAGTCAATATTCAAGTGAGAGACAGGTTAACTGGAGAGTTGCCAGGAGCTTCAACATTAATTCACTGGCCACCGAAACGTGTTTCAGTAGCCAGACATTACAAACCTTCAGCACAGTATATATATATATAAAAAAAAGAAAGACTTGGTTTTTTGCTCAAAATGTATGACAGTGCATAGCCTAAGTCAGATGGTCAAAGTGATAACAATGCTTCTCAATGCTGATCTGCTGCATTTTAAAAAGGGACCCATCTCCCTTTAAGTATGCTTGCCAAGGAAAAAAAAAACCCACACACAACCAAATTGCAAAGTCCTGAACTGTAGTAAAAATATTTCAGTCACAGACTGATTAAAAATGTATATAACTGTGCAGTTCCGAGTGTTAAATGTCCACCTGCACATTTTACTTGGGTTCCTCAATTGTCCCCTTGCTGAGGTCTGTCATTTTGGGATATTTTACTTTCTTCTGGTCCAGCTCGTTCTGAGCCCACAGTAGTAATTTCAGTAATTTAGCCAGCTTGGGTGTCGACTCACGATTTTCATAGTCTAGAACAGCTTGGTTAACTTCGCTCCAAACCTAGAGAGAGATGAGCAACTCAGTTTAGCACAATATATGCATATGTCACAGAGAGTCAACGTGATCCACCAACAGTTTTTGACCTGAAGGACTAAATTCCTCTGCAGGTATCATGACCTTGTGCAAGCGACTAAATATCAGTCTCAAGCCCCCCCCCCCCCCCCGTAAAATACGAACTATAGAGCTGCAGGATATTGCAGAGCACTTTGCAAAATAGAAATATTATAAAAAGTAATCGTCTTTTTCAATTTCCAAAGAAAGAGGTCATGCCAAGAGGCTCTCGGTGGCTATTTCCCAGCTCGTTTCAACAAAGCTCAAACGTTAGTATCAAATTCCACAAAAACATCAGCATTTAATTGAAGAGTGTTCCTCTGATAAAAATAAAGTTCCTTATCAAAACCTCAGTACAGTGGTGCCCCGCAAGACGAATACCCGCTAGACGAAAGGGTTTTCCGTTTTTGAGTTGCTTCGCAAGACGATTTTCCCTATGGGCTTGCTTCGCAAGACGAAAACGTCTTGCGAGTCTTGCGATTTTTTTTCGCCCCCCCCCTTTTTCTAAGCCACTAAGCCGCTAATAGCCTTTTAGCCGCTAAGCCTTTAATAGCCGCTAATAGCGCTAATCCGCTAATAGGGTTGCTTCGCAAGACGAAAAAACCGCTAGTCGAAGAGACTCGCGGAACGGATTATTTTCGTCTTGCGAGGCACCACTGTATGGGTCTTTTTGAGATAAAGGGAGTGGTAACTTAGAAAGCCTACTGGAGTGGTAAAGGTCATCTATATTTTCCTTTTTCATCCTGTTAGAATAAAACAGAACAAAAGTAACTTGTTCTAATGTTCACCAAGTAAAAGTTGCACCCAGCAACTGACCAGCTAAAGCTGCAATTCTAACCCCCCTTACCTGGGAGCCATTTAATTTAATAGGACTTCCTTCTGAGTAGGCACATTGTGCAGTAAAATGTCAGTTGATCAACCCAGAGATTAAACTGGTTTAAGCTTGCTTTTTCACAGAACATTTTAAAAATTCTACTCATCCTCAAACTTTGGGGCATAAGATGAACTAAAAATCTAAATAAGCTAACTGAAAGCCACCCGCAAACTTTCAGAAAAAAGCCACGTGATTTATTACAAAAGATGATGAAAAGTGAAAAACTGTACAGTCAGCTTTTATTTATAACGTAATAAAAGGCAAATCTTAAAATTGCCCTTTTAAGAGGCATGCAGCATCAAATTTTTAGTTACAACGGATTAAGCGCAATTACTTTCTGTCTCTGCATCATGTTGAGCAAGTCTCCAAAAGGTGATTCTTCTGGGTTATCGAAAGCAAGCAGGGCAAGAGTGCGCTCCATCTCAGTCAGGCATTCCCGGCTCTCCTCGCCTTGTTCCGCTAGCTGCGTCTGAGCAAACTCCAGCGCAGCTTCTGTTTCACGCTGCCGAATCAACTCAATTAAATGCTGTTGCTGCACCAGCCAACCAAATAAAGGAAAGAAAAAAGAAATGGGGAGACCGTACAGAAAAATTAAATGCAGTTCATTCAGTTTCTTTCTCTTGATCAATGTTCTTCTAAAAATATGTCAGCTGAGCATTCAGGTGAAGCCTTTAAATTAGAAGTTGGGAACTAGCTACTGAAAGGAGTGTTAAAAGCAGCAATGTCAGAGAAAGCAGGTTACATTTGCTAGCATGAATTTTCCCTATTTTAACTATGGTTTAATAGTATGCCTGAACCAGCACTAACAGTGGTTAATGGTAACTAGTTTCCCTCTTAAAACAGGCGCTACAATTTTCTTCAGTTCCTGAAGTATCAAATTCAGGATACTTCAGGTTGACTAAGACAACAGTTAATAACATTGCAGATATAATGCTAAACAATGGTTAAAGCCCCCAGGAGAAGGAAGTGGGCATACAATTCTGCTGCCTACTCCTATCTACACCAGGCCAAAGTGTGTTAAGAATGCACGCCATACATACAGGATACCGAAACAGAAGAAAAGGCTTTCTGAATATAGCAACCTTCCTTCACCACTGTCAATTAGTTTTAAATGTAATCAATGC